AGGTTCTAATTTAAGTTGTTGACATCTTTGGTGATAGTCCTTGTTGTCAGAATACCCCGAAACAGCTTTGGTGAACCTTCTTTGAACACCTTCATTTTTAATCAGGTCATTAAACCTGCAATTACTGTAAGCTAAAATACCATATTCAAGAAAGGGTAAGACACATTTTCTGTATAAAAATAATCTCGATTCGATATTATTGAAGTTTTTCATTATGAATCCGATGAGCTATCTAACTTTGGATACTTGAGATGCAATGTGCTCGAACAGTGTTGAGAGGTTTCAGTGTATTTTTGTTTGTAGCTAGATTTACGTTAAGTCAGTGGCCAATGTGAATAAATCCATTTTCGTCAACATTAAGTGGCAAATTCCACGAAACAGTCCATTCGTACAACTTATTTATTTCTTCTTGGATTAACGCTTAAATAAAACTTTCTTTGGTGGGAGAAGAGAATGAATAAACCACTTTTGGGTCATCGACAAAAAGGAACGTTTTACCATACTGAAAGGGGGAACACACGTCATTGATGGAAAGGAAAAAGAGTAATGGACCAATCACACTTCTTTGTATAACCCCACTGGTTACATTCAATGGTTTAGAGTAGCAAGATCCAAAGCGAACGATTTGGTTACGTTCTTCGAAAAAGATTTGGGCCAATATAAAAGAGGATTCTATATGCCAAATGAAGAGAGTTTTAGAAGAAGGAATTTTTGTGACACTGTAGAAAGCCTTATTAAAATCGAAGTACGGAATTATCATTGACTGACCAACGTTTCACATCTGGGTAATTTGATCAAAAAACTCCAGATGCGGTGTGAAGCATGAGCGCTTAGTCATAAACTCGTGTTAAGATAAGCTATTCAGACAAACCGAAAGTAAAAATGATAATAGTTGTTTGTGGATGATTTTTTTCCTGATAGCACGGATTTCAAATTAACAGGCCTGTGGTAACAGTATCACTACGTGACCCCGTTTCAAATATAGGGGTGATAAGAGGTATTTTCCATACAGATGGATATGTCCCATATCCCATAGATAGGTTGAAAAGTTGTAAACAAAATAATGGAAACTCCGTACTACCATATTTTACAAATGATGAAGGAATCCTGTCAGGTCCACCGTCATAAGACGTTTTCAGGACAGCTATGACCTGCTTGATGTTGGAGGTTATCAAATCAATTTTCATATCCTTAAACTTTCTTGCGGAACTGAAAACCACTAAAAAGCTTAGCGGTTGACGTGTCTTTCAATAATCTACAAGACTGTAGGCACAACGGCTTCAGGGTTGATATTTTGCTCGAATTCATAAATCCTGTTGAACTGGTCGAAGTGGTCAAACTAACTGGAAATTCAGCCATCTAGATGTGACAGTATCAGAAAAAACACCCTTGTTGTAGTTGGTAAGCCTACGATCAATTTTTGGGGACAGAAAACTATGCATTTGACTTCCATCGACCGTCAAAACTCTAGTAGTCACTAAGAATTATTCTTTACCATGATTTTACGTACTGCCAATCAGTCTACCACAAATGAGATTCGTAAAATTTCTAGTTTGCCTCATAACGTGCACACTCACTCTCAGCTGGCTAAAATTGAAACAGGATTATCAGGTAATGTGTAAACGATTAGCCAACAGTATGTTGTGAAAGCCTAGGAACCAATGGACATAGTTTTACGTAGAGAATGGTATAGTAACGTCCAGCATACAATATATGATCATATTTCCCTCAAAACAATACAAATTTTAGTCCTTGAATTTTATCTGGACACAATCTGACGAGTACAGCGGCTATAAATTCATGGTTACTCGCCAGCATTATTGTGCAAGAAAGAGTGGAGTGCTACAGTCAGAAGTATTACTGGTTTGACTCGACACATTTATCCTTGCATACGCTGTGGCAGCCTATCAACATTTTTCGTTGATTGTTATTGTGAGAAACCTTTTGAACACATAGGCCACCTACTTAACCTACCATCGGAATACTACAACAAGCTATCTCTGTTTGTTTAAGCTTGGCAAACCTTATAGATTAGTGACGAGCCTACATAAAAGAGTTATAGCTTACAGTTTTACGTACTGTATCGAACCGCCATCGTGACTATTATTATTGGATCCATATACTATGACATTTCGACAACACATTCAGTTTTACAGTGGTTGCTTCGAAAAACAAACACTATCTAGCCAGATAACTTCAGTTTCAACTAAATAAAGCCATTACAAAGTTTTCAAGGCCCTTGCAATCTCTATTCAACCGCATGAATCACACGACTGGCTTCACGATAGGTTTGGATATATTATTCAGGTGCGCTGTCTTAACTAATCTGCAAACCAGCATCCATATGGAGATACGGAATAATGATAAAAAAAGATAGGCGGAGAGAGGATATATCACTTGTCGGCATGTAATCATAGTGTGTCGTGTGATATAATTTTCTATTCGCTCAGTGGTTAGATAGGGTATTAACAAAATAAACTTTAGTACATTGTGCAGTATACCCTTTAAAGTAACATTTTTTACTACTTATTCATGTGATGTTTTCGGCAGTGCTACTTTAGTTTAGGTAGTAATAAACTGAAAAAGTTCGACATATTGGTCTGTATGTATGATTCGCCTCTTTAAAGATATTGAAAACATTCTGAAGTTACATACTGTTTATTCTGTTCTATTTTGCATAGGTATTAAACTAAACTAACTATCGATCTTTAGTCAAATACTTGGTTTAGCCATAATCCAAACTAATAAATTAGTGATAAGACTAGACACGTGGTGCTAAGAATATCACTTCACCAAGTTGTTAGGTGCGTTATTGTATCCCTACGTTCCCTAGAAAGATGCATTCTAACAGGTTTTCACATGTTGTAAGAAGATTTTATGCCATTATTCTGTCTACGCTACATATTTTTTCAGATATCTAAATATATAGTTCTGTATCCGAAAAAAACGATAATTTACATGCAGTTAGTGCAAAGAGCTAAGAAAATTGTTTACAATAGGTAATGGGTTTTATTATTTTGCCGTCCTTTGAGCATTTGTGTCTCTCTTCAGGTTCACCGAGATGCCATTCACGAAGGCTAGAAGCCGGATTGTTGAAACACACAGGAAAACAAGTACATACAACGAAAGGCATTAAAAGCATTTCACAATAATAACGTCATACCTCAGTATGCCTGCAGCCAACTTGTATTGACAACGAATATTGTCTTCAGTTTAGTCGTCTTGGTATACGATGAGGTTTATGGATCTACGATGAAAGATATAAACTGAAGTGTAACTTCTTGAGTTTGCATAATGTGCATTAGCAAACGAAAAGGATGTGTCGCGAGGTTAGGTGAAACACTGCTGAGTAAGAACCGACTTATTTGAAGATCGATACTTTTTCAATTGTTTATCATGTGTGTTTGATCGGCCAAAGGACTAGGAAGTAGATTTACCGTTCTGCTCTTGAAAGACAGTTACACCCGAATAACCAACATAAAGGAGAGCAACAATATATATGTTCAATCTTCATTCCACATACGTGTTCTATAACCTTTGGACTCATAATATCCTAACTGCCGAGCTTAATGCCGCACCTATCAGACAAAAATGCCACGGTCGAAGCTGCCCTTAGAGTATTGGTTTGATAGGTTTCGTACTACACCATCTCAAAATGAACTGTGTTAGGTGCCTCTTAAACTGTAACGACACTACGCTAAATGCTAACGTGGTAATTTAATTTCCTTTCCGAAATCTTATTATCTGTAACTCTGATTTTCTTATGTCTTTTATCGTTTGTTTAAACCGACACACTTTCTGATGTGGCTGGACAGAAACATTGTTGTTTGTAAAATATGATTGTTTGGATGAACAAATGTTTTTAAGGATACCTTTACGACTCCGAATTTACTGCTGTAGAGGGATCACAGATGGATGTTGCTGTCTACCTAATTGTACAGAATGCAGACTGGCGCCCCACAGAGATGATATATTCTAAGGTGAACAGTAATTCATGTCATGTTTTTCCAAGTGCAAGGGAACTATACGAACCCGTACTGATTCATTCAATGATTCTGAAAGTACAGTAGTGTGTGACATGTAACAAATGATGTAACTCTTCATATTGACATGACACTGTCCTCTGTGTTAGTGCTTTGAACTAAAAGAGCAAGAATCTTCAAATGACTCCATAAAATCCCCGAGAAGCCAAATATCAGAAGACAGTTAATGGACCAAGTCAAGGTTTGTTAGCTGGCGATCTCGTGGCATCGAAAGGATACCGAGATCGTGCCAGGATACAACCTTGGTTACAGAAGGTAACCGAATTCGCGCGAAGTTACAATCGAAGTGTAAGTAAAAGAATGGAAGCACAAAATAGCTGTCATTAGCACAGTCAAACAAAAGCACGTTAAAACAAACACTGGTACAGTTGGTTATAATAATAATTGTTTTTATTAAACCAGTCGTGTTCTCGTGATAAACGTGAGTCACTACAAACTATCCATGTGAAGTAGTCAAGCCCCAAATTCATGACGACCACGAAAATCTATAAAGTGACGTGCATTCATGCCCTCTGTTGGATTCACGGCCCGAATCAACGAAACTATGGAGAAAGATACAAACGAATATATAGTATGTAACGCATGAACAGATTTTATCAATGAAGATAGCACACTACCGTCAGTTGTTGAACTACCTGTTACCAATTAAGAATGAAGTTTGACTGATACATCGTAATATGTTACTTTCTCGCAAAAAGTTTATACTGATAAGTCTTTTAACTGAACGTTTGAATCGGTTTCCTATGCTCTTCTAATGACTCCGAGCTAAATCTTCACGATATCGTGATCACGAGAGAAGGCTAAAGCTATTTACTCTTGGATATTGTTTCTTCACAACTAGGTTTTTCAGAGATTTAATCGGCAATCTGTTGAGTGTATATAAAGAAATTTGATGAGTAGATCTTTGTTCTAGTCACTTTACAATCGCTCGAGACTATTTGTCAGTGACCTTGATAACGCCCTCGAGTTCGCCAAACACGTACAAATTTTGCGCTACTTGATGTCATGCTCTGAAGTTTCTTGTTGACGTCAGGTTGATCTTCAAACAGTCCAGGTAATGACACATATTTTACTTATTCAGACTAGATCAGTATTTCTAATCTTACGTTCTATATTGGTAAATTTCTTCAAGGTGGTTGGATTGGACTAATGAAATAATTATTTCATCACAACAAAATTAACTTTGTTTCTAACTCCACATCAACGTTCATATTTCGGTTGCTTAATGGTAAGGAGTGTAACTCTAGAATTTACCTTTAAGATAGGATGTGAAAGTTGGTAAACCGAGAGAAAAGCCTTCATACTACGGTGGGGATAAAGTTGACGCTGACGATGAAGGTATGGCTAAAATTCTTGTCTTGTGTGTTCTATGCGTAGTTACATTCTTAGTGTTAGATGTGTACAACTGGATGCCTAACCTTTTTGGGGTTTGCACTGCTGTTCAGTTTCTGATTACGCTTCACTTCATAGCATTCACTATCAGTCAAAATCTAATTCGCCCCAGAGAATAATAAGCCAGGCGTTTTTTATTTCTAGGGACCCACCTTTTGTCATCATTTTGCGCTATCAAGGCAGACTTTCAGCTTTTAGGAATACTTTTATCATTACTATAATTATATTCGGAAAACCGTCAAGTGATAACAAACTACGGAAAATAAAGATGTCTACGTAGTTATTAGCCGCAACATTTGATGAGTTCCACTTATGAGCAAGCAAAAAGCTCAAAGTGAACATGAAATTAATAAATTCATGGCATTCACATCAATAAGGTGTACAAACATCAGATGCTTCTTTGGAGTTCAGAAGCTAAAACCCGAAGAAGTTGAATACTGTCTATATCTCTTTGGAAACACATTAGCAGACTTTATCTTTCCACTATTTTTTTCTAGCAATACCGTATCATCATTCCATGAGTAGATAAGAGTATCACTGTTGAACCTATATGGAATTACATTAAACTCAAGTTCCCATACTTAGTAACATCGCAAGACGTGATATCAAACAATAAAAAGGGTGAAAGTGCACGTCAAATGGTGCAGTATAAATGACGGCGAATATATCGTCACACGTCCTGATCTTTATTCATCTACTTGGGTTTGAACAGCTATGTAACCTGGATCCCTACCACTCCAAACACTAAAATTCTGACCCCAACATTTCATTCCTTTAGGAAATCGTCATTCAATCTTTCTAAAATACGAAGTGTAGTTGACATCATGATCTCCAGCAACAACCTGTACTCAATATCATATGAAATTGGTGCTGATATATGACATAGGATATTTCAACTTTGACTAGACAGTGAAGGCAGTCGGTTTAGTATATTTTTAACCAGACAGTATCGTTACCCCGCAGTCATTGTGTCATTAAAAGTCGAATAAGTAGACCTGTAGTTGGCAAATGAGTTTTATCACTACTATTTTATTGCACTATTATTGTGATCAATCCTGAGCTACATCACCAGTTGCTCTTAAATACTCATTTCTATCATCATGATGAAGTGTGAAGCCTCCGCTTGCCCATTTTATTCAAAGACTTTACAGTTCAGCCCAGTGTCTTTCTCTGACTATCCTAGTTTATTTAAACTTAATCTTCAAATGTAATAATTATGTTTCCCAGTTGTATCAGTCAGCCCGGTCTTTCCCAATGACTCCGAAACTTCATACTTTACCTTGGTTAAGGCACACAACAAATTTGAAGGATCCTTTTAACCCCTGCTTTGATATTGATCATAAAAATTGAAGACAAGGGTAATACGTTATTTTCTTCAATTCAAGACTTGAAAATCGAAAGTCTTAAAATCTTCACCACGGAATTCGGATACAAGTGAACTATCCAGATTTCTCCACGTGACTGATAGCTTATCTTGTCGACCTTGATCTTCGTTGATTACCGTCGACCTTCATTCTGTCATTATTTGCATATTTATTTTAATGATCTTCCCTTTTGTCCTGGTTCTTCATCCTATATTTATCCATAATGCTTCTAATTGTCTGATTATTTTCACCATAGTAAGTAAAGAAACAAAATTATTAGAAATAATCATAATACTGAACATATCAAATAACAAATTGCCTACGTTAAAAGTGTCAACAGTTTGGTCTAAACTGTTCCAAAAAGAAACTCAGGATATTTAAAAGGTAAAAAACTAATCAGTATATATGGTTATCGGTTAACAGCAGTTTTTATGAGATCCAAGTTGTATTCTAGTGGCTATATTTTATATTATGTTATCGTCTCAATGATCGATAGATCCAGGTATACGCAATATCTGATGCGATAAACCGTCCAAGTAAAGCATGGGAAACCATCATCCTCTTCGATTATGTATGATTATTATATCATATTCTAAGTATTGTTTTTCTTTATTGGGTTTAACTCACAGTTGGTCATTTTGTGTTATGGATGCTTTCTCACATACTTTCACTTCTACATTTTAAACAGAATCTCAAAAGCTTTGTATAAATGATTGTCGACAAAAGCAGGCAGCATTGTACCCTCCCTTTTTGTTTAAATCATCGTCGGCACAGTTACTTCTCTCACCTCCAGATGCAAGTGAACTTCTTGTTATAACTGGTCAAAGTAGAATTCATCTGTATATACAGCGAAATTTGGACGAACTTTCGCTCGAAACATGTGAAAATTGCAATAACTCTAATCACTCAGACATCTCAAATCCTGTTGAAGTCGATTTGGCTGTTTGCAAACTAAATAATCTTAGTATTCCATCGTTTCCTCAAAATTTGTCTTCTGAAGTTTCAATATACCGGTCTCATGGACTTCCTTTACTTGTTTGGCCTAAATCAGCTGATAAAATACTCATTCAAAAGGTATATAGTATACTGTTTCTACTATTCGGTTATGACTTATTGTTTGTACTTTAGTAAGGAAAAAACTAAAATAACATGTATGAATATTCTTGTGTTTTCAGAGCTTTGGTAGTCATTCAAAAACGTTGCATATTTGGACTAGGCGTATCTGTGAAATCCAGAACCCACGTTTTTTCTCATTTGTAACTTGTCATGTAAATGTTTCTCAGTGTGGGTGTTCACATATCAACAACAGGATGAAACAAACACGAATAAACGTTACTCGTTAAGCGAGTTGGTGGGTAGCTGTACTAAGTAGCCTAATAAATAATTGGTTGGTGTTAGTCTGAAATCTCAATGTGAGCATCAGGTTTGTAATGCATACAAATCTACCTAAAAGTTCTAAATTTGTCGAAACCCGCTTCCTGGATTCTGTTTTTAGTTTTAGTCTAAGTAAACTGAAACTTATAACAAAAAGGTAATATTGATGTACCTGTTCAAGATCCATTAATGGAAATCCAGTATTAAATATTAACAGTAGGATAACAAACCCTTACCAATATGCTTTATCACTTAGCTTCTTGAATCAGATAAGAATACCTTTTATGTTGGTAAACCTAGTTGTCAGATTGTCCAACCTCATGGTAGTTGGCTGATTATCCACTTTCCTGTCACAGAAAGTTTTGATTCTACACCAGTTTGAGGAAGCAACAGTAAATTCAGCTAAGCATTTGTTGATGAAAATGTCAAAACCTATTAATAAAGACACCGTTAGAATTAAATTGCTTATATCCCTGTTACCGTGCTATATAAAACAGGTCATCATATCGTTCTGATATGTTTGGTACTTGACCCTATTTGTTGAGAGTAGACCAATCAGTATTTTCGAATTATTCTTGCATCGAAAAAAACAAGGCAACTTGTTAATCTTTTTCCCTAATATAAAGTTGAATGAACCAATAAATTTTGTTGATTGTGAATTTGTTTTAAATGTACATCATCATTTTTAGTATTTAAATTATAACTATCCGGATTGTGGTCGTTGGTTTAGTGAACTTGATAAAGTAACCGGCTGGTTAGAACAGAAATGGAGGCCATTAACACGAAACTTGGGCATAGTTAGTAATGGTGAAATCAATAATAATGATGATAATTGGATCAAATTGGATAAGAATATATGTATTCGTGGTCTTCCCTCGGATTGCGTTGCTGTAACTTATTTGAAAAAACGTTCAACACAATATGAAAAGTATGTGATAATCTACTCTTATCGATTAATGTAGTTTATCTACCTAGTTATCGTTCTATGTACTCGACTGTTAGTCACATATTTTTGTAAGAGCCGATGATACTTGCCACATTCATCGGGCGATAAACAATAATTAGCTTGGGTAGATAAATAATATATCAGCCAATAAGAAAACAGTCCTTTTATGACTAACCAGTAAATTGCGATAAGAAGCCAGTTATTTATTAGCAGTGCAGTCATAATAAAAGAATCTCAAAACACTACCCAACTACCTGAACTAAAGTAGGTGTTGTGGATTTCAAACCTAGTACTTTTGCAGATTTATAGCTAAGTAGATTGTCTACCAAAATACTACGCCACATATGGTTGTATAATATTTCTTGATATCGTTACTACTAATAAACAAGTTTATAACTAGTGTGCACAGAACAGTTATTAGTAAATACGAATTTGTGAAGGTTATTACTATTTAGCCTTTAATCAAACCACTAAAGTAATAGAAAAAAAAACGTTTTCTGTTAATTTGTAACAGGTGTACAACGTTATCAAAAAATTTTTTAGATTGAATTAGTCGTTTCCTTTCGACTTAAGAGTTCTTTTTGTGTGTGAACTATGGTAATAACGTAATCTGATTACGAAGCAAAGTATTGATCATTCAAAGATTTTGAGCCACCCATTTTTTGTGTAGGGACTAGTGTTACTACTATCCATTAGTTTTTGTGACCAAAGCAGTAGTGTTGCATTTTTATCTCTCAATTCAGTTATCAAAAGTGCAGTACTTTAAAGTACTAAGCTATTGATCTTCGGTTCTTTGTACCGATGTTTTTATATTAAGTATATATTGCATCCTTAAAGTTCTTAACTAACAAAGATCATGAGGTATATGGGTCAGTCAGAGTAAGTCACATTTGAAATTCGGTTCAGAGGATTGATCTAGTTTTTGCAAAACGTTTTCGGTTACTTATACTTAGTTCCCCCCCTTTTGGTTATGAAAATGATAGTGTCTCCAGACACTGATTTCAACAAGCCTATAGTTGAATATGTGAATAACGATCTTTTCTTTATCATCATATTCTTTTTTCGAAGCAACCTTTACTTTGCTCAATATGAGTACACATAAGACCCTACACCCATCAGTTCTAATTACTGAAACTTCATATCCTATTCAATTTTTTTCAACTTTGTTCCTCATGAACATAACATTTCTCACTTGAAACCTTCATGTCTTAGGTTGTTTAATTGTCTGTTCAACAAACAATGTAATAGTTGTTAACCAACTAACTCTTAGTAATAATAATTCACTCTTTTAGATATGCCAGTTTATTAAAAAGTTACTTTACTCATCGTCTACAATTCACACCAGCTTTTCATCATAATCCTATACATAGAGAACTTGAAGAACATTACAAAGTAAGCAGGTATTATATCACTGATGATTTTTACGACAGTGAAATAATGATGAACGTTTTATCTAATAAATTGTGTAAAATTAATCGGCGTATCTTCTCTTAAAAAGATATTATTAATCTTAGTATATTTAATTTGCGTGTAAGGCTGGAGTCCAGGTGAGTTTCGTTCTATTTGGGACCGACCTATCAGGTAGATGTAGCAGCATTCCAGTGCTGATCTTCACACAGATTCGGACCCAGTACCTATCCATACAATGAATTATACACTAGTATAACAGGCCCAATTAACCACTAGTTTGTTCGACGGCTATCATGTTTATTTGTAACGGTTTTTATCGTATCTTTGTAACTGAAACTTATAACAAAATAGCTATATCGAAGCCACTCACCTAGGGTGTATATATACTAATGAAGACTGATTAAAATTCTGTCCTATATATCAACAATGGGATAATTTAAGCTCATAAGTATGTATTAATAATAATAATTTAAACAGTGTCATCAGAATTGTGCAGTGGTATTGTCTTGTACTGTAGAGCTTTGTGACACTAGTTCAAATCCCATTGAGGGCATCATATACTTCAAGATTGCGAATACAGTGTATTGACAAATCCCAACTACCATGAAACTTCGATTAGTCAGTTCTTCTTTTACCATCGATAACCTTTAACCATCTAACAGTCATTCATATTTTGACCTATTTTTGTGATATTAAATGTTTTATCAAAACCTTTCATTCCTCAGATTCTTTGTGTTTGGTATCGTTTAATAATCGTCTGTTACTTATTTACTAACTCCTTTAGATCTGTACTCATGTGAACGTAGAAATCACTCGATCACTGTCATTTTAGCCCTAATCCATACCAAAAACACCTAGTCATGAACGTCCCTAGTTAATCACTTCTATTAAGAGTAGGTTTAAAGTTAAAAACAATAAACTTATTAAAATAAGGATCAGTTTAGGGGTTGTGGAGATTGTTAAGTTTTTTATTGAAATCATGAACCGATTGATGTTAGACCACCATTGAAAACCTGGAAGCACTGGATGACCGTTTCGTCCTATTGTGGGACTCATAAGCAGTGCGCATCCACGATCCTGCTCGCGGGATTCGAACCCGGGGTCCAGGGATCGTGGATGCGCACTTCCGAGGAGTCCCACAATAGGACGAAACGGCCGTCCAGTGCTTCCAGGTTTTCAATGGTGGTCTAACATCAATCGGTTCATGATCTCAATAAAATAAGTATGTTTATATAGGTTGTGTTCAATGTGTAGTTTACATCATGCAGTTGACTGAAGTAAAACAGCAATCATTGAAAACCGGAGAGCCGTTGAACATTCGTTTTTTTTTCTATTTTAGAACTTATCAGCAGTAGGCATCCATAGCACAGTCGGTCGAGGAATGTTCTTTCATTAAGAGGATATTTAAAAATAAGACTATTAAAGTATTGCTTTTATAATTAACTCCCCTATGTATTTTATTACACCTGTCCACACTTCAGTAAATTGACCATTCATAATATTTTTCAGTTCATTCTTACTTCAATATGTTCCTGAAGTTCTGACATGAAGTTGTGGCTGGTGGAGTTCATTTCCGTGAGCAATGTTAAGAATGATCACCAATAGTATTTAATTATTGTCGTCCTACATTGCGAACTGATTGAAGCTGAAAACGCACCATTGGATGATGGCTCATTAGTTCCTAATGGTTAAACATTTGACGCAAGACTTGAAGGTTTTATCTTTGATCTTTAACAAGATCCTACATACTCATATCTAAGGAGTCTTATAATAAAATGAAATTATTGTTTGGTCTCCACTATTTTTCAATGATAATCCCAACTTAAACCGATATATCACTATTACAACCTTATTAATTCTTGTTATTTTATTTATAATTAGGAAAGACTCGGTTGTTTAAGTGAAGATGCTGGTTATTTTAATGTTATTGGAAATCGTCTCATTCAAGTGATTAATAAAGCTTTATCATCTGGTAGACCGTATTCTCTTAACCCAATCACTTTCACTTCTTCTATCAGTGATTTAAGTATGAGAGAACAATGGTGAGTGAGTGGTACGAGTTTTTCTTGAATGAATATTTTTCAACTATATGTATAATGGTGCATATGTGTGAGGATGTAGTTTGATTGCATAGCGATCATAGCTAAAATTACAAACTACTGAATTCTCTGACTCAATGGTTAAATGATATATTTCTTTTCATATCATAACCAAACCCTATGGTGCTTGGTGCGATCCTGTCTCTTCGATCGCAGATATACTTGACCATAGAGTTTAAAATTAGGACGTGTCATCTATCCAATCCTACCTAATTTTCAGCCAATTTTAGATAAAGCAATTCATCAGTGATTGAAGCGTCTAGCCCTCAGCCATTAAATCGCCGATCTAAACTCCATTTTGTTTTATCCTTTTTTCATTGAACCCTTAAAATATGTCTGGAACCCCAGGAGCACGAATGTGTGCCTGGGAAAGTAGTTGATAATTGATCACTAGATTAAATTTGTTTACAAAGTAGTACAAATCTAAACGGGAACCAATTAAATAATTCTAGTGGACTGTACTGGTGATAAATTTGCGTTTATATTTTTTGATTTACAGTTTACATGCTTTACTACCTGGCAATGAGGTGAAGAATATTAGAAACCAGAAGAGGAAATCCGTAAGTTCCTTTTCTGTATATATATCAAAGTTTTGTGGGGATTAACTTTTATATAGTCACAATTGATTGATCACTTTGTGGTGATCAATGTCATGTGTGTCAGGTTCTTAGTGCAGATCGAATGCAATCGATCGAGTTGCAATGTGGCCACCAGTCTAGGTGAGTCGACATTGCGTGCACTATGTTGAGATTAGATGGTGGTTGGAGGTAGTGGAGAGGAAAGCGTGGACACGGGTTTCGTGCTACTTGGCACTCGTCAGCAAGGTGAGCTTAGTGGTAACGTCTCTGACTGTGAAGCTGGATGACACGGGATCGAATTCGTCAGGGAGCACCACTTCCCTCAAGATTACAGGTACACCTTGCTGACGAGTGCCAAGTGGCACGAAACTCGGGTTTCCTGTTGACTACCTCCGACCATCATCTAACTCTTATGTAATATTTATCGTAGGTTTATGTCATTTAAAATACCGTGTAAGTTTATTGAGTGCTAACTGGGTGGTCTAATGATTAAGCATTGGTTAAGAGACTTAGATGCTGTAGATTTTTTCCTCGAGTGATCATGGCCATTCATTACCGTGGAGTTTTATAGTAAACCGCATTAACTGTTAAGTGCTCTATAGATTTCCGTGGTAACATAAGTGAGATCCATCCAGTACGTAATTTTCTTCAAAGACATTGTGCAAACGTATCTTATTCTAAATTAATTTTGGAACAAGCTACTTCGTCATACCCGAATTTTTTGTAAACTCTCTGTTGTTTGTTGGGATCCGTGTTAAAACATTAAAAATACAAATAAGCGCGCATAACTTATTAGATGCTTTCGCAATGTTAGATCCACAGTATGATTCGATATTTTTAGTTCTCTTCAACTCTGTTAGCTTTAAAATATTTTTTCGATGGGGGAATATCGTTATTCCATACCAAAGTGATTTTAATTGATCTTTTCGTCATAGTTGATATACACATACAAGTGACTGACACAGAATATATATTTAATATGGATTTAGCTGGTTGGTGACCAATATATATATGTAGTTCTACTGTGAGTAATAATTACTTTTTTAAAAATAACTGACATTCAAAATGATAATGAATTCAGCAATAACAGTCAACTTGCAGCACAAATAAGTCTAGAATAACCATGTGAATATTGTCAAACAAATAACTTACGTATCTTAGAGAGAAATCATGCAATAAAAACTAGATACCTACGAATAATACAGTTATAATACGTGAATCTTACATGGTACGCTTCATCAGAGGGAGGCTTTTAAGCCTTGGAATGATCTCTTCGCTTTTATATATTAAATTGATGTCAAATGACTCAAAATTTTCAAATTCAGTCAATATTGGTGTCAACATTTTCCTGTTTTGTTTCCATTATTGTTTGTAGACTAACGAACTGTGTAGAATCGATGGTCTTTCCGATACTGATAGGTAATAATAATTGAAATTCGTTATGTTTTTATCTTTCCATCTCTTCTTGTGACCAATCATGTGTTGTTTCTATTTTTCCCAAAGTTGCTTCTTATCGGTTACAACTGTAGACTAGTAATTGAAATTTAGTCTTTTTTCTGTGAAGACAATAGGGCGAAAGCATGGTATAGCGACGAGCTTTAAACAGTCACGATCAACTTCCAGCTACATTCTGACCAATCAGGAATTAGCCTTTATAAGTAGATAGCTTGTGGTAAAGAAAACAATAATATTGCGAAAAATAAACAGATTCTATAGAAAATTGATTTTATTAATGTCTTGTACACGTTACACTACTTATAAATAAAAAGCAAGGACATATAAACTCGTTCTAATGGATATAGGTTGTCCATATTGTCAAATTCTCAGGAGAATCCAAACGGCCTATTAATAGTTCGTACACTGATTATTATACATGGCATTTGAATTTTGTGCGGAAAGCTAAAGATTGGGTTCCAAATTGTGAAGACTCATCTCTGAAGTGTACTTTCATCGACAATAAAGGGTGAAGTTTAATTATATAATACTGAATTTGTCATGTGTACTATCACTTCATTGGTTATTTCAGTTATCCACTTGTTTTTTTGCTATAAATCAGGAAGTATTCACCATATTGTAATGTGCGAAAATTAGTACTTGTCTACACAATTTTGAAACTCTCAACACCCTTAGTAGTACAGTAAGCAAAAAATGTTATAGATGCAAAGCAAAGTAGGAGTGGAAATGACATGATATGCATCATAGTAGTAAAATAAATGTAAAATTTATTTTAGGGTAAAGAGTACGAAATGTTTGTGACTTAAATTATCTACCAAGAATAGATTTTTATACTCGGCTCCCAGTCACACCTTGTATGTTAAAGTTAGTGATACTATTCCACTGCTCAAACTCAAGTAGGTGAATCAATAATGTTCGAACCCGCGACCAAGCGGCTAAATGTCGAACATCTTAGCCACTAAGCCACCGATCCACTGTTTGAAATAAGAGTGGATGGAACTGTGCTACCGCAACTAGTTTTTTTTGTCTTATCACTCAATATCCCCAACCGCAAATTACAATCATTGCGCTGCTCTTTTTCAGGAAATTCTCACTTTGTGAGGTCCCTGTCAAAGCAGTCAGTTACTTTATGGAATGGTGCTATATATTGGTTTAGCTTCCTTTAACCCCCAGAAATCAGTCATTATTAGGATTATTCGACCTGAAGAATGTAGAGCAATTGTCGTGTTGATTTAAATAACTTTCTATACTACTTTTGACAATTTATTTTGTTTGAACAATCGTACAAATCTTGATAAAATACCATAATCATAGTATTTCTTAATTGTGAGTTTCTTTACGTTTCAGTCAGTTTATTGATAGTCAATCTAATGACGACGGTGACGGAAGCATTTCAGAATTTGACGATGATAGTGATCAGTTTTTAGCGCCTAATGAGAAGGACACAGTTGGTCCGAAATCAGCTGATCAGTCCACTCGTGATCTACCAAATCGACCAATAAGCAAAGAGGTTAGCCGTAATCATTTTTAATTTAAGTTTTTTTCATTATTTGATGTCTCAATGGAATCTTTTTGTATAAAATCCTGACAATAAATAAGTATAAGCGTGACTCATCAACCCTTTACTTGGTCATACTTTCCCAGTGTGAACCTGTAATACTACTCATTTCCCTAAATTAAAGTTGGTATACTAGGGCATTCGAAATATTTGGCGATTATATCCAGTGGTTTACACGATAACTTTTCATCTCAAAATAATTCGAGAGAATGATGTAATCAAATCAATTTCTCTAGCGATTAGATTTGTAAATTTCTTTGTATTATCTTCATTCCAGAAAATTGATATTCCCCATGCTATTAATTACTTGCCATTCTGATGTGTGGACGAGAATGATAATTATTGACTGTTTGTTTAGTCAGACTTGTAATAGTTCAACAGGTATTAGATGAGTTATATATTTTCCTATCGTTATTATTATTATTATGGAGAGTTCGGTCTCTTCATGGTAAAATGAGTAGTAGCAATAGTAATAATTGTGATATCAGTGTTGCCGATGTTGATAGCTCATGATATTTTTCCTGTTTCGTCTATTTATTTCTAATCCATCATATCTTGTTCACTCCAATCGAACAGTTCTTGATCTGTCACACTTTATATCATAATATTCTGCTACATTTTGTGTTTTTTTCCAACCAGTTCTATCTTTTTCTACTTTTTCCGCCAGTTTGATGTGAGGTCTTTTCTTTCTTTCTTTCTCCAGATAATGAAAAATAAAGGCATTGTAAAATATCGGCATAAACGTGAACGTAATCCTAGAGTGCATTTACGGCATAAATTCCGTAAGGCAACAATTCGTTACAGATCACGTGTTGCGCCGGTTCGTAAAGAAGACAAACCATATGCTGGTGAAGTTAAAGGAATACGTGTAAATTTGATTAAATCGCATAAATTCAAAAAATATTAATTCACTTTTCAACACATTCAGTACTTCTTTGTAGTTGATCTCCTTTCCTTTCTGTGATCATTCTGACATGTTTTTTATGTGATTAGCGGTGTTATATATTAAATATATTAGATTAGGTTTTATTTGCGAAAGTTGACAGTGATTACGAATTACATACGGTGGAAAGATAGTTCTTGTTCCAAATAGAGTCTACTGGAACTAATATACTTTACGACAATTCAACATTTTCAATCGACACGGATAACGGATAGCTTCGAAGTATAATACGAAGCTTTCCGTCTGTGGGACCTAGGTTGCGTAGTTCTGGGTACCTGTGTAGTACAGTTTGACGACTAAGAGCTCTAGTACTCATAAGGTTGCTGGTCACCCTTATTTTACCTCGGGAATATGGGTAAAGGTGATGCCTAGTCGCTATCAGAAAGACTAATAATCTTCAACCATAGTGTGTAGTCGGATTTGACTAGCGATTTTAAGTTTATTAGAGAGCTAGTCTGTTTGATTTCGCACGTACAGGGTCGCCTTCAATCTTAATTGTACGGGTTGTTGTTGGGAGGTTGAAGATTTGCTTTGTCCTAATTCTAAAGTTTCGCTGGTTCATCCAAAGATTTTACAGTTATCAACATCTGGATTTTGTAGAATATAGAGAAACGAAGGATCTCCTTGCACACTGCACAACGGGAAGTCTCTTGTGTTTCAAACGGTGTATCTTGGTGTCAAGTAGAAATCCATATCCAAAAAGTCTTCCAAGCATATCTAGATCCAACTTAGACTCTAAATTCATTGACAATGTCTTTCGCTTAAATTTCATGACTCTTGTCTTAATTTTCAGCTTGAAGTATGACAGGTGAGGTTTATCATCTCAATTCGGTATTTTTCTAGGGATTGAGACTAAGCTCTCAATCGGTGTCTATTCAAAAGCTCGTTCCAGAATTCATGTTTCTAACTTGATATAAGCAACTGTCTATGCTTTTCTCCCCAGCTCTCACGACTTGTAGTGGGGTTGCTAGTTTCTCGTTCCCTTGGAAACGTGGTTTATTCAGTGCCAGACTTTAAATGATACCAACAGAATTATCAAGACTATTCGGGTCATCGTGTTCAGATCCATAATCTTGAATTTCGCCGTTATGGTGGCGATTGAATTCATATGCGGTCTGGTGTACGAAGTGTGACAGGGGGGGGCCTTCTTCCATAATCCATTTTGCAACATATCTTAAGTGAGTTAAACATGTATCAGGGCTTTTGATCCTCCTTGGTTAAGAACTGTTTCACGCACAGTGTTGTTATTGACCAAAACTCTTATACAGGATCTGTGATCGTAAGCTATTACATATTGTCTACCTTTGAATAATCTTTTAGACTTTGACCATCTAATAAGGAGACGGTTCATAATCTCACATCTTAAGGTATCGTAAGGTTGTGGGTCCAAATTATGAGTTTATGGAGGTCATAAAAGGTCGTATCGGTGAGCAACATCCTTGCAATAAATTGATTGAACGAACAAGAACGTATGGAGGAGGTACTACGAAAAAAAGCGAAAAACCCAACTGAGTATGCAAGAGCGGGGCTTTTCAAACACCAGTTATGTCGACACCGCCAAACACAATTATCACAATACGAGAAATATTCCGACCAGCTAAGAATAAATATTCAGTTCAGAAAGGGTTAGTTAGCTCAATCTATATGGATGAGAAATCAGGTGTGAACTAAGTTATACAAGAAGTAGGGAAGGTTCACAACTGAATACAGTTTATCAGTGGCAAACGCTCTTAATAAGCGAGGGAAATGCAGTTCAATTATTAATAAGAACAGAGCAATCAGCTCACATAGTACCGACAAGTACAAAGTTGGAATAGTGAGTAAAAGTCTAAAGGACGTCATTAAGTTGGTCAGTCTTAAGATGTGGACCCTAGAACAACTTGATGATCACAAACGTCGTACACGTAAGTACAAGGGGCGTTCGTAGAAACATCACTTACAAAGACATGGATTGCATGAGATCAAGTTTTTTCATATATAAGTCATCTTATGCTACATAAAAAAGCACGAAATAATACCAAAACCATTAATTTAGCGTTCTCTGTTTTGTAGTGTACACTTTGGCTCTGTTGTTGCTTTGTAATTTGATCTTTGATCCCAACAACTGTAGTAAAGCTCAACGAAATCCTTGGGTTATTATTGTTGCAAGGAATAACTTTTTAATAATTAGTCATGTCTGTTTTTAGTGCTTCATGCTCAAGTGACATTTCAGTCGACCTAACCGATGCCTTTCGAAGTATGATACTGAACAAGCGTTTCGTGTTGTGGGATGATTTTGAAAGCGCCTTAAAAGAGTTCCAAAAAGTATGGAATTATAATTTTATCGCTCTGAAGGATGTCAGGTTCAAATACCTGTTTGTAACATTTAATTGTACGTTTGGTCATAAACGGAAATCGGAAGGTTTGAAAGTGAGGCAAAAATCGTAAGATCTTTAACTAATATCTTATGTTTAAGGTCTAAATTCCGTAACTGTCAATCTAAATATGTCTGTACAGAGTTCATACCTGGAGGATTTTCGCGCATACATACAGGAAAACTCCTACAAAAACAAGACTTCATTTATACATATTGAAACTCAGAGTCATCGCGATCAGGTTCCTCGAGTCTGATTATCGTTATTGCAATCGCGCCTACTTCGGCAGTCGGAATGTTTTGCTTCGACTCCCGATTTTCATCCCTCATTGGGTATGACATTTTATGGTGCATGACAAATGTTTCCCTATAATATTAACGAAGAAAAAATCTCAATCTAACAATATGAAGTCAGAGTGCATCATGTTTCCCAATAAATCGTTTTGGTAACTGACCGGAAGACTAGTGTGGTATTTATACGAACTAATGATTCTTTCCTACTTGATTGCGAATTCTAAATATAGTACGTCCATTTAAACCAAACTAGGTTTACCTTTCTTTGATTGTACTATTTCGGAGATTCCTAGTTAGCACAATAACCCAAATACTTCTAGTTACCATACTGGCGTCGCGATGGAGTAAAATATTGGACGGTTGGATAATGATTCAAGTGGGAATGACTTTGAAGACTACATGGAGCGGTTCGAAATCTGGTGTGACTAGAAAAGATATTAAAGATGATGCTTATTTCCAGAGCTTCATCAACAAAGAGGCATGTTACCTGTTAATGAATCTGGCCTTTCCAGAGAGACTAATTTCATTGTCACATTAATCTCTCAAGCAACTGCTACTTAGTCACATTTAATGTGCTAGCTTTTAATGAATAGAGGGATCGAAGCTTCATAAAATGATGTTACAAAATGATCAGAAAGTTAAAAACTTCATATTTGAGCCACAGAAACAGATCGTGAATTGCAATTTCGGAGACCGATCGGAAACTCGAATTCGTGATCGGTTGGTTTCTGGGATAAATATTCCGACTTTAGAAAAATAACTAATGCAGAAGCCTGAAAGTTCACTCCAAGAAGTTAGAAAAGAATGTATTAACTTTGAGGCAGTAAATGAGCTCGGTTCCCAGTCAATGAAAATTTACAATACTTGGTCATTGTGACGAACTACACTTTAAGGGTCGCTCAAGCTGGCGTTAGTTTAATAATGATTCTCACTCGTGGAAATATTAAAAATGACTCATTGGAGAATTGTAAAGCAGGTTACAGAAGTGAGCACACTTTTAGTAGGTGTTTATACTGCGCTTTTATAAAGTGCCGTAGAACCATCAATACTGGGTTTGATAAACTTAAAGATGAATAATTGTTTATGGTCTTCGATAAGCGGTGCATATGACACTGAACAATGTTTGTGCGAAACGTATGACTTGACCGATCCAAGCTTCAGCATGGAGTGCTCGTATTGTTATGCCCTTGAAGTCGGATGGCAAGATCCCTAGAATATGAGGCGATTACAGATCAACACTGGACCCCCGATTGTTGAGGCAAACGTGAGCGACGATGGAAGCCGAAGATATTCTTGACGGACTTCATGGTCCTGAGATGTTATTGAAAGTTTACTTAAGAGATGGTCATCTCCAAATTCCCTCAGGTCGATCTTTATCTATTTTAACAATAACTAACACTTATTTGGCCTGTTCAATTATAACTTCCTTCAATTTAGTCCAAGTTGTTCTTCACCTCTATTTCAAGAAATGATGAATACTGTTCGTAATTTTTCATGTCGTGCTGATTGTTTATTTGATATTTTGACATCTAATTCTTTTAAATAGTGTGGCTAACAAGAATCATGCTTGCTAAGTCTAGTAAAGTTTGTTCAGAGTGGTGCTGTTCTTTGAACTTACCTAGTGTACATTCTGTACTACTTGTGATGCACCATCTGTGAGTATTGGTGCAGGTTTTGAGCAGGAAGGTATTCCAGTTATCTGTGTTTCACTCAGACTTAATTTTGCTAAACAAGGTTTTTCACAAACTCAGCGAGAATCACTAGCTGTGTTTTAGTCTGTTAAAAGACTTCATAAAGCTTTTAGTCGGGGTCCCTGTGGTATTAGTAAATGATGATGGCTCTCAGTTTGCTGCGGATTCAATCACTACCTGTAGTGTACAGATATCTGTTCACTGTTCTCATGCACTCTTGTTTTAAAGGTCAGGCAGAAAATTTCTCCAGGACATTGAAAATTACTATTGATTCTATTGCTGCTTCAACATTTAATGGACTGAGAAGAGGAGTAAATACACTTATACTGCGATATAGAAATGCTAAACCTTATGTGACGAAAGAGATTACATTCAAGCTATTAAAAGGAAGAATTTTTCGTTTGTATATGAGGTGTTTGGATTCTGTAGAAGTTACATATTATCGTGGGAATGATCTCCTACCAGCCACGGGGATTGTGATAAAGAGCGCCGGGAAATCCATGGTGCGAATTCTAGATATTTATGACTAAGGTATACATAACCGACATGTTGATCAAATACAACTTCATCAACCTTATGAGTGTTCCAAATACGATTGTTAATTCTAATACTAATGAATACATTCAAAGGCACACTAGACATCAAACATACATTCGAAAGACACACCATAGGCCCAAGGTGAGGAAGTACAGTCGACCACAAAAAGTTGGATTCACATTTAATCTGTAGTGGCTATATCTGTACGAACCAATGATTTCTTCGTACTTGATGGCCCGCTGTTTACGAATTCGAAATATAACACGTCCATTTTTGCTTAACTAGTCCTACTTATTGTAAATTACAGTATTTTGGGAATTCCTAGTTAGTACATAAATTCGAATAATTCTAATCAGTATATAAAATCACTTTTGTTAGAAACAAGTAGTTACTGGTTATTAAAATCATATTTAAAACCTACTGAGATAGCAAAGTCAGAAGGCTGTGAAATTTTAGTCGTATTTTATATACCACAACTCTAGAAGTGTAGAACTGGCTAGTCCCACTTAACAGGAAATTGAGCAAGATAACTCCTCCATAAAATAAGGAAGTAAAGGACTACAAATTGCAGTCATTATGTTTTTTTTCCAAGAGCAGACCGTTAGTTGACTTTTAACCCCTTACCTTCGTCTTCTGTAGTTCTGCAAGAAAAACCACTTAAAAACTATTTTGAGACTCAGTTTCCCAGTGTAAAGCAATGCTATTCCGAACTTTACAAGGGAAGTTCTTTGAGTTCACCGGTTCTCCAGAATCAAGAGGGGACGTGGTTTGCGCGTGCTTCAGACAGAAATCCCGTTGACGACATCAAGGGGTCTCAGCCAGAGCTTACACTACTCTCCACTTCTATAAACGGCAACTAGTTATGCTGACTCTTACTTTACTTCTGACACTCTACAAGACCTTCTTCTCTTAGCACTCCCAAAACCCAGAACATTCTTGCATCCAATCCTTTTTTCAAAAGGAATAGGAATCTATCAAAATATGTAGAGATGATTTAATGAGGCATGTCGCAGGAATAATGGACGAATCGTTTAAAAACCGTTTTCTCCACCTAGGATTACCATTACTAGGTTCCTAAATAATATGAGGAGACCTGAAAACGACTTGACGCGTATGAGATTTTTCTGCTACTCCAGTAAAACATCTTGTTCGACCAACCCTTTGCATTTTAAGAGGTACCTCGCTATGAATTGTCTATCAAAGAATTAATGCCCAGGCAAGATCAAAAATTTTCGCAATACAGGTAAGCTCCGTTTTGAACGCTTTTCCAGTTTACATGAATCGTAACCCTCTTCCCTTCGCTTCTTTGCATCTTATTTTTATAAATTTAAATACTGTTACCAGCCCGTTTGTTGTGTGGTAACGCTACAGCTGTTAGTTCCGACAACGTCATGACTGAAATTCATGATATATTAACCAAACATATTCATTATCTACACAACAACTACTGCTTTCTAGTGACTAAAATTCTATCACTGGATGTTACTGAAGGCCTGGAATGGTGCTTCAACGCCAGGGCAAAAACGAGAAGCAATCATCTGGTTTATACTAACGAGTTCTAAAGATAGTGGATATATTGGGTATTGGATGGGAGCCATTTTACATTGAGCGTCAGGCATAAGCGCTCAGAAGGATTCTGGTTGTACTGGCGGATGACTTAGAGGTAGGATTTTGTTTTCCTATTTATGTGAAGATTCTAGTAGATTGGTTTTTTGACGAAACTGTCGACGAATATTTCTCATCGTTGTGTTTAAACATTTGCTGTACAAACTATTTTTTAAAACGTATTTCCAAATTATTGCAGTGAGTTGCCTCTAAAATTATTTATAATCACGTTGTATCCAAGTACTGTAATCGTTTACAAGTCCTTCGAAAGTAATTATTCCTTGAGTGAAAAAGTGAGGGATATTGACTATTTCTAAAAGATGTGGTTTTCAAAAATCTAGGGAAAGATCAAGTCGTAATTGAATTTCGATTTCCATTTTTGGTAATTCCCCAAACGTTTTCTGATCTTGAAAAAAACTTGACTACTCAAGCGCTATTCTGTTAATAACTCATTTACAGCTACGGCTTATTTAAGTCATGTGTTCAAGTGACGTTATTTTTGCTTCCTGTAGATTACTATGATAGTAATTCCATAGTTATTTTTTACTTACTAGTTCTTAACATCTATTCTCAGTTCATTGATATCATTTCGTGTCAGTTTTTGTGCCTTCAACTCCCCGAATAGCTGTGCTAGCAATTCGTCATTCAGAGCACATTTTCCAGCGTAATTATTTTCTAGATCGATTCCCTATGAGATAATCGGTAATTTATCCATATAACCTATCATGCACTTCCGCCTGACCAGCTTATGACCGTTTAGTGTACTAATCTAAATGAGATACTGGGATGAGTCGTCTTTAATTCTGATGAGCTAATATCGTGTGGATGTATTTACCAAATTAACAAATACGCCTGACTCAATCTTTAGTAGTTTCATTTAGCCGTTCTTTTTTCCTGGACGGTAACTAAGTTTGGTTATGCATATAAAGTTGCCATTGGTCTTAGACCCATTGATATAAACGTGAAGAAACCATTAGCCTGTGTGACAGGATTTAAAGCAATTGCAATTTCGCCTTTTAATTATTTGTTTTTTCTAAGAATAGCGGTAATTTTATAGAAGACATAAAACAAACAAACTCTTAACGGTAATATTCATTTTATGCCGGGAGGATGCACCACTCAACAGAACTAGTTTTAAATTGTCATTTAGTCTTCAACAATGAATTTGAATATCTACAGACCCCATTTTGCATTACTCGACCTCACGTGATTAAAACGCAACAATTAGACAAAACAGTGACTTCATAGTGTGATCCCGTACTTTAGTTTGGCGATCCTTAGTCTTTGTGGTACTAGCATTATTTAGCCAATTCTCATTATTTTCATTACTCACCTGGGTGTTGTGACTTGTTTTTGCAGGATGCTTCCTTAGTACATATTTCAATGCTCCTATCCCTACCTTAGCTTTTGATTGAAGCAGTAGTTTATTATTCTAACCAAGCAATTTTCGACAACTCGCGTATAGATAAAGATCCCATTATATTTTTCTCTAGATAACCAATCATCGTCAGTAGAATGTCGCACAATAATCGTGACCAAACGTCGAGTACGAGAACGTCTATCAGATTATTAAGGTCGACTAGCCGAATTTCGTTACTTTAAGATCCTCGTGTTCCATTTGAAAGGCGCACATATATAATAGCCTTATTTGGTAGAGATACCGGTTTGAGCACCCGGGAAGTATCACATCCCACAGCAAATCAAGTGACTTGTGTGGCGCATATGTATTCGGTGCCCCTTTGTACCAATATTTCTGTCTAAATAAAGAATAAAAGACAGAAATAAAATGTTGGGTTTGTTTGTCGATTGTTAGATGCAGCGGTGCCCCAGAAGAGATATGGACTGACAACTAGCTCCACAATGTAGTTATGTATGCATAAATGACAAATGATATTTCTCGATTCCCCTAATATGTCAGAATGCTGTTAAGAGACGAGTATTGTCCGTATTATTAGGCTCTCTGAAACTTAGCAGTTGTCAGACAATGTTTACTAAAAGTTGATAACATTTCTTAAGTTACTGAAACCATGGACGTTGGCGTGACTTGACTTTTAATCAGCTAACGATGTTGTGAGTTTGTTTGAGCTATGTGTCATGTATGAAAAGTCATTGGGTAGTTGAATATGTGATGTTCGAAAACTTGCGATGGTGATTTACTAAAACAATAACTTCAGTGCATAGAGTTGTCAATCTTTGATCCAAGATGGATAATAAGTTGTAAGTTTCCAAGTTGCTCTGTTTAATATACTTTGGATAAATAATGAGACTTTTGGCAATATTAGTTCGGAAGGGATATCAATAAATTAAACACACTCATCCTATCTTCTGCAGGATGCTGTGTACTCTATCATTTTAGACTAAGTATTACTTCAACGGTGCTTATCTGTCAGCTGCCTAGTCATTATTTTGATTCGTCAAGTATGTCACTATTGTTTACTTCATCGTATAAATCGAGCATGACCATTAAAAAGCAACTAAATAAAGTTTGTTATGTTTACTTACCAATATCTTTAAAGTTATTCGTCATATTTGATTTAACCGCGAGATGCAGAATAAATCCATTTGTGCCACTGCGCCAATAACATCGTTTGTCACTAGGTGTGGCAAAGATGGGCATATATCCTGCGAAGCTTCTGTAATCAAACTCTATTACTCTAGTCCAAGGTTATAGGGAACTTTAATCGGAATTATCAACCTCATGTATTGTTCGTCGGGCTTGCCTACCATTTCCTTTCTTATTCGATTCCGTCATAGATGTCTTCCTAAATGTCACAATTTCTTCATCTAAATTTTCAGGTGGTTGATATCGTACTATAGTACTCGCTTATCGACCTAGCACTATGGGGTGACACAGTTATGTTTGGTGAAGACCTTGACGTAAATCGGAATCTTCTAGTGACCCTGAGTAGTAGTTCAAGGATGTTTGGATACGTTTTCTAAGTTCAAAATATTACTCCTCACTTGTTCTGTGCAAACGTTTAGCTAGTAGTATAGAATGATTCAGTCGGGTGCATGGACCACTTCACTTGTCTTGGAATTCTCACCACCCCTGGTAGGCTATTATCTGACAAAGTCTCGATATGAACCTAGAAACATCGGTTGGCTTTTGCTAACTTTCGTCACTTGCGGCATAGGTGATATATCTGTCTCCCAACCAAATGAGTATGCCAAGCAGCAGTTCATTAAGCATTACTCTATGGGTGTGAAACAGTCTTTAGGAATAGAAGACATGTATAGGGTGCAGGGCTTTGGTCATATATATCTACAAGGTATTGTAGAACAACCGAGTAAGCAATGCTAAGATTAGACTTAAGGTATTGAGTAATATGTATTATGGGGTTTATAGTCCAATCGTATTCATTTACTATCTGAACCAAAAAGCTACACAATATCACTTTCAAAATTATATATATATATATATATATATATATATATATATATATATATATATATATATTATATATATATATATATATATATATAGTTAGGTTTTTTATATTCATGACATCACAAAAGGTGATCATATGATTAAAAAGCACAAGTCCCTATACTGATTCACCGAAAGTTGTTACGGTTAGTCATGAAGTTTTATATGATAGGCAAACCAAGTTGATAGGGTTATGTTGAAACCGTGTCAGCTGATATGCTTATGGGATGTTGCACGTTCTAAACCATGCACATTGAGCTCTAAGTGGTTTGGGAGTGGTTTTGCTGACTACTTTATACTCATATTTATCGAACTAATCCTTGTGAATCAATGAAGAATTACTGTATTTGTTGTCGCTAATATATCAAAACTGTTTAATGATGTGTATTTTCCGGTGCGCCATATGGTATCCGTTTTGATTTCCAGTGTTCTATAAAATTTCATAGTTAATTCTCATTTACCGTAAAGAGCTCTAAAAGTTACTTGTCTCTAGTTTTCATTGGTTTTCCTAATGATGGTGATCAAAGCTCTCGATTGTCAAGCAGTGGATCTAAGGTTTGAACCTCGCGTCATCTAATTCGATTTGGCGATCGTTTAGTTCTACTTGTTCTCCAACAGAATCAGTGTGGGTCAAAGTAGGTGGGGCGAGGTTTGAACCTGAATACCTTGATCGCAATCATTGCTCAAAGTTTCGTACATAAATTTGTATTTGGTAAACAGAACACAAATTTTTATGTTCTCTTATGTGCTCGATGTTATTCTTGGCTTCTGTGGTGTTTTTCCTCCTTTAAAGTGCAGCATGAATACTGGGTTTGACGTACGCTATATATTTCTTGTCACTTAGCTAGCTAGTATGTTACCGGCAGTTTTCTTCCCTACAGTTGTTGTTTTTGTCAATCTATAGATGATCCTGTCATATTTTTTACATTTATTTATTTCAGTTACTTGATAATTGTAGGCAAATTGTTTAACATTCAGTGTTTAGCCAGTACTTTGTATGTGTAAACGTAAATAAGTAAAGTAATTTAAAATATTTATGTTAATTAATAAGTTCTACTGATTCACTTCAAATATTTTTTAGTACAAAAATAATTAATTAAATATAATCGTCGATAAATTAGAACATTAATGACTTGCTCTTTTTTTGATGAATGGATATCAGTTGATACACTTATATACAGGTATATTATCGTTTTCTAGATTATAACAAATCATCATTATGTCAAATGTTGTTGTACGGACAAATGAATTTTCAACTATATGGCCTCTATTGTTAGATTATAATCAACGTGAATGTTTACAGATTTTACGACGTCTTGAATTAGAGGCCTATAGTAAAATTGTAGCAGTATTACGGGCACAAGGACCGTTAACAGAAGAAAAGAAAAAGCTATTGCATAAATTACAACGTCTTTTGAGTATTTCAATTGATCGGCATAAAGCTGAAGTTCGTAAAGCTTTAAATGATGAAGAGCTTGCAACTATATCAGAAGCGTACGTTTTATTACTGTCATTATTACTATTGTTATTATTATTATTATTATTCACTAAAGGAGCAGTAACTAGGTGGTTAAGGCATTTGACTTTCAGCCACCGGAATTCAGGATTGAATCCTGGTCCACCCAGTTTAGTGTGAGAAGCTGGGTAGTATCATCGGATGCTAAATATAAGGTTTGGCTCAAATCCAAGAATACCAATCTTTACTTGGTTGGTGAGTTAATAAGAAAGTGGAGTGGTGGTTCAGTAGTTAAGGGATTCTACTTTCAGTTATTAAGTTGCAAGTTTGGACATAGCTCCATTTATTTCCGTTTGGATAACTGGTTTGTATTTTACATAGTCTTCGTAATTGGGTTGTGACTCAAAGCCAGTTAAACGAGTATGTGTATGATTGATGGGTTAGTAATAGTAATAAACAAAATACTGAGCAGTAGTCTTTGTTTTTTCTTTTCTTTCAAGTGTATGCGGTAAAGAGGTTGATGAAGAATGGATCTTAGAGGGTAAACGTATTTCACCAATTTTTCAACGTCCAAGTCCTGAGACTATTTTTATATCACAAGCTAATAAAGCTTCTTTTGAACAGTTAATTCGTAATTCTCGATTACCATGTCCAGCGGAAACAGCAACATTTTCTGAAACTTTCATAAAACTAGCAAAATTGAATGATGAGAAAGTTGATGTTAAACAACAATCAGTTGAACAGGTAAGACAAAATAAATTTGGCTGCGGTCATCCGCAATGTTTTAAATGTTCAATAGATTTGGTATATTTAGAACCTTCAGTCATTTCTTAATTCATTTTATAGCTGAGTGCTTCACAGGGGGGTTACATTTTAAATTGTAACATTCATTATTAGATTTGTTTTTTATTCGGGATAATGGACTGGATTACACTTACCTGTTTATATTGGACAGTTGGGAATAACTACAAACGTTCGGGATGGAATTACGCTTCAATTACATATTCACGAAATGAATAGAAAACCGTTTAAAGTTTCTGGTAGCAACATACTTATTATGTATGAAAAACGTTGTAAATGTGACCTCAGCCACTTAGTTATTTTCAATCTCTAACCAACAATACTATTTTGTATCTATGTATCCTCATTATCTTTAGGTTGAAAAGCAAATTGTGCTAGAGCTTTTTTCGAAGTATTTTCGTTTATTTCTGACTATGAGTTCAATAAAAAAGGATTTCTAGAGAAAAATGTTAAAGGTTTTTTTTGACTTCTATCTAAGACTCCGTTAGTCCATGGAGTTTGTAACCTTTTGATCGAAGCCTTGTTGATAACTGTAGACTATTAGATTCGCTGGAATAATTCACTCGTGGTTATTCAAAGTCACAAAAACTGTCTTAGGTTCTCGAAATATGAATAAAATATAAATATTGTATATATATTAAATGTTTCTACAGTGAACAATAATTATCTTGGATTGAAAACGCTCACATTCAAATGGATTAATTTGGCTACAACAGTTATCGCTCTTCAAAAACATGTTCAAAAATGACCACTTATATATATCTGGAAAATAAAAAGTTTATCTACCGATAAGACAGCAGTTGGTTTACGATTAACCAGTGAGACATTGGAAAGAAAATTATACAATAAATAAACTAGTTACTCATGAGTAACACAATTATCATCTATAAATCTCACACCATTTTTCATTTTTCATTTTAATTTAGAAATTTCCTCCAGTAGTAGTAACGAATGATAAAGTATGTGATATATCAATGAATGAATCGAAGACAGACATTCACACTGTTAATGACTCAATTCATCTTTCACAAAACAAAAATGAAAATAATATTAAACTAGATAATTTGAATAAATTACCAGAAAAATGTTCACCAGTGAAAACTCAAAATAATCCGCTTGTTAAATCACTACTTGAACCCAAAACTACTTCTATTCAGTCACCATCGATAAAAGATAACAATTATGTTGTGGATAAAAGCTCCTTGGATGTTGTGTTACCACAAAAAATGGAGATTAGTTCATCACTTCAAATGGATAATCAACAAGAAAACTCTACCCTATCCACTTCCTTTTCTTCTTCATCGTCAACTTCGTACACTGAAGTTCTAAATGCAAAAAATCAAGTTTTATCCAATCAATTAACATTATTGCCGGTAGTTACACGTGAATCTTCATCTTCCGGAAGTAGTTGTTTATTGAAATCGGAAAATACTTCACTTGTCAATTGTATTAGTGATACTATATTGAATAAACCTAGTAAAGCTCATGAATCTGTTTCGTTGAATGAGATAAATATGTCAACTTCAGTTGATGCTCAATTTACGACACCCACTACAACAGCAGCCAATGTTGTTACCTATGCGATTTCAGAACCTCGCACTGTTCAACCAGTTTTTAGTCAAGTCAATCGAATTCCTATTACAACTACTATAACCAGTGGTAAAGTATTGAATTCATCTAATTATTCAGCTGTACATGGCGTGAATCTGTCATCATTGCCATCATCATCTTCAGCTCATACATCTCAACATTTGGTCGTACAAATGCATCGAAATCCTGACGATTTATTGGTTAGAATCTTAAAGTGTTCTTTTATCCTTGTTTTAATTTTGTGTATTTTGCTGTGACATTTTTTTCTATTAATTACCTAAACTAATTATTGAATGAGCGATCGGTCAATCACAACATAGAATCTAGTACATATGTACATCGATTCAGGTTGCCACACACTATTAGCACAGATGATATTTGCCAAATCCCAGAATAGTAGAGGTAGTAACAATATCAGTGACAGTAGAAAAGATTAATTGTCGAAGATACGATTCAAGAAAATATAAACTAGTGAAATTAAGAAAACATTTAGAATTCAAAAGCCTAGAATCTGAGGAAAGATGAAGAGTGGATGCATATGTGCTATTGCAAAAGATTTTCGTCTATGTCATTCAAAGTCTCTAATCACTGATTACGATAATCATGCGGACCCCAATCAGGTAGTCTAAACCTATTAACATGGCTTAGTCCAATTTTAAGTGTTTCTGTAGCCTGGTCCCCTGTTTTGGTTTGACCGCCCCTAGCTTCCTCCCAGCATACTCCTACATTAAACAACATAACACATCATAGCACCTCACCTATATTTAAGTCTGTATACGTTTAATTTTGTTAGACCTTTTAATCAACTTATTTGACAGACAGTGTTATTAGAATAGTAGCAATTTGTCTATATCTTTGTGTGATTATGTATTGCAACATACATACATAGTTCTCTTACTAGCCTAAATGTTAGTTGCTTAAATCGCCTGATGACTCATTAACCTTCCTATATATATGGGCTTTTTAAACCTTATTAACTCATTCGTTCGCTTGGATTCATTTGTACTAGGATTTCTGTTCGGATTTGCTTTGTGTGCTTGTGGCCCTATGATCTGCACTGTGCAATAACGTTTTGCATTGTCTTCTGAAAGTTATACACCGTTGGGAGTTATCTAATGGTGGTTATCAGGACGAGTGATATACGAAGTATTAGGAATTATCCCAAAGATATCCCACTACAGTATGCCCAAACCACCTCAGTTGGTGAAAATTTACTACTCCATCAATTGATTTGCCGTTATTACTTAGTACCGTATTCCTAACCTCTGTGTTGCTTACTCAATGGTCCTAAAATATGCGAGCAGTGATTTAAAGACATCTATGATTAGACTCATGGTATTAGACAAAAATCGTAAATCTGTTGGCAAAATTGTGAATATTCATCTATTTGGATGACGGATGTGGATTGCATATGCCTAGCCACATCACCTAACTCGACCCGCCAGGTTTGCTGGTGGAGGATTAGTTTTTATGAAAAATAATCCCTGGGAGGGGAGGAGTCGCAGGTTAAAACATGGCACCTGTTCGTGAATTTATTTGCTATTGATATGAGTCATGCTATTAGACGCAGATTACCTGGTTGAGGTCTGCGATGTTATTGTAACCAATGGTTGAAAGTATTGGACATATAGCTTAAATTGGTCCCAATGGCGCAGATGCATTTACTTTTTGTCTCCCCTTAGATGCTGAGTTTTTAGGTCATTCCGTATTTTCTCTTTCACCAATTAATTATTTCTCGGATTTATCCATAATTCTTTTTATAATCACTGATACTACTTGTTAGCCGGACATAGACTGGATTAAAGCATGGTCAATGCACGATTGCTTTGGTGCACGCTGATTGGATAAGAATTAGCCAATCAGCGTTAGTCAATACTTAGTGAACACTAGAAATCTCATGTGAAAAACTACAAATATACTAACGTTTTCCATATTGTGCTTCTTAGTTCCACTTAACCTTGTTATTTGGAATATAATCTCTTTTCCTATTCAATCGTGTTCTGATTTGGGGGACTTGTCGAGTGAATCGGTGTCCGAGAATACTAAGCAATAGGAATAGCTGAGTTGTAATAAAGAGAGGGAATTATAACACTACTACTTTGATATTGATCTCACTGTGGTAGTATGTGGTGTATAACTTGAAGCGATCCACATATATGTCATCTCGAGTTAGATAGGAGACAGTAGATCATTGCTGTTAAAACAATCGACTTACAGTTTACATATCACAAGTTTAGAACTCCACTCTATCCACTCCAGACAACTAAGTACAATCATTAACTACTACACAAATAATGTGCTAAGGTCATATAAATATTTATTTAATAAAATGGGTCATCTTACTATTTGTTACTAATTTGGCACGAAAAAAAATTCCGGAATTCTAATTGTCAAACTTAAAAGAAGAACATAAATTTTAAGCATTTCCATAACATACCATTGATATAATCGACTTTAAACTGTTAATTTTAACCAATAGGAAGTGATTAACTCGCTTGTTAGTAGTGCACTTATCATTCTAAAATAGGAATGGGCGATAAACATTTTTTTATTAACACATTTATTTCTATAAAATTTCATCACACATTCTTATTATTTATGAGAAAATATGTCACTGTTTTAAATTGTCGATAGGATTTTTTTCATCAAGATTATTTACTGGCTTCAAGTGGTATATCCCGGAGTTCTAGTGAGAAGCAGTGATCAGTGGAGTTCAACCGGGTTTGTTACGAGATAGTAACTCACTGATGACAATAGTGAATGTGTCGCTCAATTTCGTGGATTAGTTGAAGTTGGACATTAACACCGTCGGATGGTAGTTCAATGATCTAGTGGTTAGGCGCTCGCGCGCGCGACCGACAGGTCCTGGGTTCGAATGTTGCGTGGCAAGGTCGTGGATGCGCACTGCCGTCCAGTGCTTCCAGGTTTTCCATGATGGTCTAGCTTCAATTGACTCATGATCTCAACTATTGAAATTACTGTAATATCTACAAAACCCTTCTGATATTTACTGTTTAACTCATAAGTTAACTGGATTAATTCTACTTATCATGAATAATAGTTAGAATTTATTGTTTCATTTTGTAACAGTTTAACACAAATGATAGGCTCCTGATCAAATTTCTAGGGCACCATTTTTCATAATGTACATTTATTGCTAGTAATTTTCTCATTCTCAATATGGTTTATCTGACTAGTTATGTCTGTCAATCGTGTATACTTCATAAAATAATTACAAATCATCTCGACTTTGATTATTACGAAACACAAAAATTATCACCATGTTGGTTCGTATACTTTTCTTTTTCCATTATCTTTTAGTGAAACCAGACACGATTACAATAAAACACATACACTAGATATTATTCGACAATGAAAAGAGATGTTTTGGGAACAAAACTGATTATGAATGGATGAATATAAATGGCAGCTAATCACTTTAAAAATATTTTACAAATAGTTTTTAGTATCTTCGTAATTTAAATGATTATAAAACAGGAATTTTGTTGCGACTTTGCATATTTTGTGCTGAAAATTCTTTACTGTAGTCAAACATATAATAGTGAAGAAACCGAATATTATTGTTATAATTTCATTGGCATCACGAACCTATCTAAGTTAGACAACCATTAAAAACCTGGAAGCACTGGACGGCTGTTTCGTCTTAGTGTGAGAATTCCCAGCGATGCCTCCCCACTATCACGTAACGAGGGATCGAACCCAGGACCTTCAGTCTCGTGGAGTTCAACAGCTTCAATTACTTAGTTACCCCACCGAAGACAGTAGAAGATGGTCGGTCCGTATTGCGATTTGATTGAAGTCAGTCTTGTGCACCATTGGATTCTGGCTCACTGGTTTATAGGTTAAACATTCTCACACGAAACCGACCATCCTAGGTTTGATTCCTCGTTGCGAGGTCGTGAGTGCACTTTACTGAGGAATCTCATACTAGGACTAAACGGCCGTCCAGTGCCTTCAGGTTCTCGATGGTTGTCTAACTTGAATCGGTTCATGATCTCGATAAAATTCGACAATTTTCACAAATCTATACTGATAATAGCTACTGTTATTATTAATACTATGTAGTGGTAATGTGTTCATTGTTTATTTATTCAATACCTATACAGGATTCTAGCCAACAAGTATTAACAACTACTCAACGCTGTTCTCTAATCAATCCTACCAATTCAGTTTATGTCTGTGAGCATTCAACACCTACAGCGACACGTTTATGTTCCACTTCTCCTAGTCATATTAATAATTTTACAACTAATAGTAATAAACTATATCAGCCTATCAGCAGATCGAATTTAGATAATGTAATCGGAGTAAAACGCCACCACCACCAACAACAACCTCATACATTGTCATCTGTAACTCCTAGTGTTCTAAGCATTCAAAGCCTTCATAATAGTAGTAAGTTTTAAGTAAATTGATTGTTTGTTTTCATTTTTTTTCTCGTGTAAAAAGTCACTTTACCGGTATATAATTATAATAATAGTAATAATTGATGGTAAAATATTTCTTTATTTAACAATGCTTTTGATAAGAGTATGAATAACTATGATAACAGCAACAGTAAGTTTTGCAAAGCGGAAAATAATGAGTTCACCTTTCTACTTCAAAGCTTTTCATGTGATATAAACAGAAGACAATAGTATAAGGGGTTAGTGGATATAATTGAATTGTAAGGGAATGGTTGCAGGTAGTCGACAGAAATGTCTAGGCATAGGTTTCTCGCTAGTCCGGGATTGGTCAACAAGGTGTACCCGCAATCTTAGGGGAACTAACGCTCACTAGCGAACTAGGTCCATTGTCACCCAGCCGTTGATCAAATGTAATAGTTGTGATGGCTATTTTCAATGATGTTGTTTAATAAACCTTAAACCTTAGGGTAATAAATTCTGAAATACTAGGTGATTTTCTCCATAGTTTGACATGTCTCTTCTTGTTTGTTTTATTCTCTCTTCCAAGCTACACCATCTCAACGTTTTCGTGCTCCACAATCACAACCACCAGTTGTTTCTACAAATGAAACACCGAAACAGTTATCATCTATTACACAAATTCAAAATCCTAAAATTTTAAAAGCTACCATACCTGTTTGTAGTAACGTCTTGGGATCAACAACGTATGCATCAAATATGTTTTGTAGTTCAGTGATAAATATTACAACAGATAATTTGCCGATTAATAATAATACTGATCAATTAAATCGTACTTCATTACCTCAACAAAATACATTGATCCCATCTAGTTCAGTTGTACAATTTCCATCGTCAATTTCCGGGAACAATGTAATTGTGTTGCATAAAGGTAGATTGTTTTTTTCTTGTCAATGATTTTTGTTTTTCATGATAAAGTCTTTTTTATTTTATCAAAAGTTTTTCTTTTGTTTCAGTAAAATATGATCAACTAATCTCTATTTCTTTTCAAATTGATAGATGAAACATATTTCTCGTGTTAGTGAATTTTTGTAAAAATTTTTATGAGAATTTTCTCCTGTATAAAATGAAGCATTGTTTGCTTGCTTACTTACTTACGCCTGTTACTCCCAACGGAGCATAGGCCGTCGACCAGCATTCTCCATCCCATTCTGTCCTGGGTCTTCCTTTCTAGTTCGATCCAACTGTTGTTCATTATTCTCATGTCTGTCTCCATTTCTCGGCATAATTTGTTCTTTGGTCTTCCTCTCTTCCTTTGGCCTTGAGGATCCCATGTGAGGGTTTGCCTTGTGACACTGTTGGGTGCTTTCCTCAATGTGTGTCCTATCCACTTCCAGCGATTCTTCCTGATTTCTTCCTCCGTTGGGATCTGGTTTGTTCTCCCACAATAGATTGTTGCTGATAGTCTCCGGCCAACGGATCTGCAGTATTTTGCGTAAACAACTGCCAATAAACACCTGTATCTTCTGGATGATGGCTTTCGTAGTTCTCCATGTTTCCACCCCATACAGTAGAACTGTCTTGACATTTGTATTGAAAATTCTGACGTTGGTGTTGGTTGATAGTTGTTTTGAGTTCCAGATGTTCTTCGGTTGTGAATATGATGCTCTTGTTTTGCCGATCCGTGCCTTCACATTTGCATCGGATCCACCGTGTTCATCAATGATACTGCCCAGATATGTAGAGGTTTTTACATCTTCTAAATCTTCTCCGTCAATTGTGATTGAATTGATGCATGCTGTGTTGTATAGGAGAATCTTGATTTTCCCTTTGTGTATATTGAGACCTACTACTGTTGAGACTGCTGCTACTCTGATCGTCTTCTCCTGCATTTGTTTTTTCGTTTGGGATAGAAGGGCCAGATCACTTGTGAAGTCTAGATCGTCCAACTGTATCCTAGATGTCTACTGTATCCCATGCTTCTCCCCAGATGTTGACGTCTTCATGATCCAGTCGATCACCAGAAGAAAGAGAAAGGGTGAATCATTGTTTGTTTGTAGTAGTGTTATTCAAATAAACAGTTGGAACAGTGTCCGGTAAAATGTATTATCTTAAATATAACTGGAAAACTTTTTAACTAATATTCAGGAACTGCTTCGTAGTTACTCTAGATTGAATAAGAGTAGATTGGTAAAGCGTTAAAAAACATCTATTCCTATAATTCATTGAACGTTTAACTGAACATTATCCAAATGTACAATTGTTTTGATTGATGTCTGAAAGATAATAACCTTAATGTACATTAGTCACTGAGCAGCGACCAATGTTACGTTTATCTCATCCTTTAGTACTGTTTGGATTTCATCAATTGAGTTGTAATATGGTCACTAGTTTAAGTGGTTTGAAATCACGTTCACCATATTGGATTTTTAAGTGATTGAAGATAACTGGCGGAAAACTGCAAATCTGAGTCTTGTTCCAGTTAGGACTCGTTCTCAAGGGATAGCTGTAATCTTCAAGGGATTTAATTCTTACTATTGGATTCGAACTTGGGTCACCCAGCTTCACAGTCCAAAACATTACTGCTAAGTTATCCGGGCCGCTCACGAGTGTCATTTAGCATGAAACCGTGATCCAGGGTATTCTACCAACTACCCACAACTACCTGATATCTTAGTTTTGATATTTCGGTGTCGTTGGGTTTTATTGATGTGTCTTTTGCTTTTCGTTAAAATTTCATCATCGACCAATGATTTTCGACATATTCTATTCAGGTATTGCGCGTAAAACATTCACACCTACTCCATCTATACGAATTGGATCAACTGTGCCGGTCAATAACAATACACAAGCAATTGTATCTGGTGGTTATTCAAACGCTTCCATTGCATTCCCGAGTCGTCAGTTTCGAATTATTGGTTTATCGAATACACCTGTATGCTCTAATTCTAGTACCGTTGAAACTTCAATTTATAATCAGGAACCTAGTCAAGTAATTTGCAATATCAATGAATTAGTAGTATGTTCATGAACTTGTAATTTTATGCTTCATTTTTCAAAAATGGGATTTTTAATATCGTTAATCCATTATCTCGTTGTTGGAGACAGGGCATCGCAGTGTTTGCCTTGTGTGTATGCACTTGTACAATGGTTTATAAACCCATATAGCATAATTAGTAATGTGCATGATCTGTAGAATAAATACCTGGATTGAACCATTTAATTTGTTTAGTTATGGATATGTAGGCACATAGAGTCTGTATAACCTTGATGGCCAGTTTTTACTGACCTATTAATTTATAATAGATTGTTATTGCATCACGACAATGTATCTACACACTATACTATGATTATCTGTGAATTTCCGACTCATAATTTTGTCATCATGATAGATCACTTTCCATAACCTAATAGACTTCACTCTCTAGGGATTTCTTTTGGTTTCCAAAATGCAAAATAGTTATGTAATAGCGACGGCTCTAGAACGATATTGAAACAACTAAGAGTGAAAAGATTTAAATACAGATAATGAACCTAATGTTTGAGGATTTCCAGAAATGTTTTGAACTATGAAATCAGGTTGAATCACCCTGATTATTTTAAAATAAAGTTTTTCGTGAACACTGTTTCCGTATTTATTAGACAGATTCTTACCTTAAGAAATACAGACCACTTTCATGGCTATTTATCAACCCACCAAAAGGCATAGATGAGGACTGGCTGCAGTTGCGTAGTGCCATGAAAATGGAAAGTAAAGTCGCTTGCGGCTTCGCGGGACGTCCCGCTTATAAGCACTAGGCTTTAAAGGCTTCTTGCAACTCGTTGAAGCACGTTGGTCCACTCTGAGTTGACAAAGATTGTTTCGTAATGAAATCATGCAAAGCTTGCGTAAGAACTGAAAAGCTTGGTGGTTGGAAGCAGCAGTTGCATCTGGTAACTGCCGGAAGTCCTTTCAGTCCATCCGAGTCACTTGCAGCGCGAACTCTGGTGTATGTGAAATAATCCGTTAAGCTGATGAGATGCTAACCAATAACACCTACCGACATCTTGGACGATGGATAGAGTTCATCGAGTAACAATTCCAGTGGTATGCTGCCCCGGTGAAATCAATCAGACTCATCAGTGTCTAGTGATGACTAGTTCACCTAACGGGATGAAACTCTTCAAGAAATTCCAACTCTCGAAGCTCCATAGATCTTGACACCCAAATAACTTACCTCCAGGTCGCTTTAAGGATGGTGGCGACTTTCTGGTCAAGGCATTGACTGAGTGCAAAGTTCTTCTACAAGACTGGCAGGACCCTGATCCTGTACTCACCCTGGATAGTGAGCAGGTAGAAGTAGTCGAGAAGTTCGTGTGTCTAGGTAGCTGCCTAAGTGATGGTGGTGGCGTGAGTGACGACATCAGTTCACGTATAGTGAAAGCCAGAGTGGCTTGTGCAAATCTGGGCCATCCTTGATACCCTTGTGATGTCAGTCTGACTGTAAAAGGTCAGGTCTACAACGCAGTTTTGTTCTGTGCTTGTGAAACCTGGCCTCTCCGAGTTGTGGATGTTGGAGGACTCTATGCGTTTGATCATCGTTGTCTCCGAAGGATTGTTGACATCTAGTGGCAACACCATGTTAGCAATGAAGAATGTTCAGCATAATGTGTTCGAACACAGAGACAACAATTCAACTGGTGTCACTATCTTGAAACATCGACGTTGGTGGCTTGAACCTGTTTTACGAATGTTGTCCCATAGAATTCCACATCGTGCATTGTTTGCTGACGATGGGACTGGTTGGGAACAGCAGAGAGGCGGTCAGTGTATGAGATGATGTCGTGGTACGAAAGAAAGCTTTGCGGAACTGACATTTGTTGGTCCGTGGTGGTAAATTTAGAGATGGTGCAACACAGTGACTTGAGACGTTATCAAACATGGTTCAGAATAGAAGCCAGTGACGATGTTGCTGTAATTTTCTTTTACTTTCTTGAAACAGTGGGAGAAACTTCTTTAAGTGAAAGGATTCTTTCTGGTCGTATTTTTGCTAGCTGCACTGCTTCTCTCATCGTTAATACTATTATTAATTCACTCTCATACATTAATTTATATTCGTTGTTGTTCTTTTGAATTATACTCACCCTATATTCTCTATATACTCACAACCTTGTTTCTATTGTGGGTGAATATATATTGTGGCGCTCACTTGTACCAATGTTTATTCGTTTAAATAAAAATAATAAAATAGTATTAATAATAATAATTAATTATTTATTTACTTGAACACATAGATATTGGTACAACGGGAACCGAATACATATGCGCCACAAAAATCACTTGATTTATGTGTGGGCTATGTTATTGCCCAGGTGTCCAAACCGAAACAGATGGTTTTCTTAGGGGCCACACCCGGAGCCTTCGACCTAAAGGTTTGATCTACAAGGCAGTGGAGCAACGTTAGGAGATGCAGTCCTGTGGTAGCCGGTGACCAACGATTGGTTCATACGCCGTTTTTTCCTTCAGGATCCCTGAGCCCATGTGCACCATTGGTTCGGAATTAGGGTTTTCCAACTCCCCTAAATGGACCTTTCGTGTCTAAGTAACCGGTCAAAGAGGCGGACATTCGCTTTTCGTCCTCTCAATTTCGTAAACAACACCCTCGCCACTCACAATCAGAGAGCAGTGGATAGCTATTTCATCTTAGTATGTAGCTCTTCAGTGGTAAGTAACCGTGCCCCATCTCTGGCAACGCAACCCAGTACGTTCAGATTTCGCAGGGAACACGCTACTTTTAGATCAATGAGTTACCAGTCGTTGTAGTGATGGGTCGGTGTTTAAGACCTTTAGCCATTAGCTACTAAGTAACAGGTTCGAACTCCACCTTACTTGGTTTGTTTTGGGAAACCGAGTAGTCATATCATTTGCCCTTCGACATATTGTTTCTATCTGATCAGAGTACATAAAACTATCCCTGATGAATAAGTTAATTTATCCGTTGACCCACATTTCCAACTTTACTTAATAGGAGTTGTTTCGTCTCATTGCATACATAGTTGAACTATATGGGATATTCACAATAAAGGTATATCTTTTTAAGTTACACTAACATCATTCTCTGTTGATTATAGCCTTTAAAATATTTTGTTATCCTATATAATGTTTATCTTTTCTTTTTTAATCTCATCGCTAGTCTATTCAAAATACTCCCACGATGATGACGACAACAAATGCTATTTCTAAATCGTCATCTAGCCATTTACTTCATCATAGTTCACGTTTAGGATCAATTCTAGAGGTTGATCTTGACTCGGATAATTATAGTGATCAAACCAATTATTATACTGATTATCATAACGCTACTATACATAGCAATAAACCGACTTCTCATTGTTCTACTATTGTTACAATTCCACAAACGTCTTTATCAATAGACGTATCGAAATTAACACCTATTCATCATAACAAACCAACAGTTTTAACCGATGAATTATCTGCTGTCAATTTACTTCGTACTACAACTAGTACTACTAATAGTAATAATGATTTACACAATACTTCATCTGGGTTATATACTATAATCAATGAACAATCATTAAATAATAATCGATTGCCGATATATTCCGAGGTAAATGTCTTTTCTGCTTTTTGTTGCTTCACTTTTCTTTAGAGTTCTTGTGCTCAGATAATTTTCTTAAATTTTACTCATTATCAATAATAATCAAAATAGTGATGAATATACTATTAACAAGTACGTGTTTTTTAATGTTTTGATCAGCATAGACAGTGAATGGTTTTTCTGAAATTCCAGCATATTACACACTATTTACTGTTACACTTGATTTATTTGGAAACAGATGTTTTCTTCAATGTTTTGTCTCCATTAAACAATAACAATTGTTTAACGGATTTCCGTGGAGTTCTTCTTATGTTGTCACATAAGATTTTTATCTATAGTGTAATCCATGTATTTATTAGCTGATGAAAGTAAGCTTTAAAATCGTGAAATTCAAAAGAACACAGAATTATCTTGGTTTCCTCTAACCATAGTTATTTATGTTTGACGTTAGTAAATGGATTGTCTCTCATATTTTCAACAAAGTACATTCATATATAGAAGTTTATTTTTTTCATTTCCAGTTGTAATTGAGATCATGATTAAAGTATATATTCTTTAAGTTTGTAGAATGGATACTTTTCATTCATTCAGCCCTTTCTTCATTCATCAATCAAAGATCATTCTAATAGCAACTAGCTTTTGAATTCAAAACGCTTCATTTTATCTTAATACGCTTTGTTCTAATGTTTTCTGAATTTCGGTAGATTTTCTCGAAAGAATTTATTTTGAGAGATATTTGCGTTTATTTATATCTCTATTCAAAATTACACTTTTAAGCATGGATTCTTATATTAACGAATAAACTCGTTAGAATAGTTCCTCTGTAAACTAATGGATTGATGAATATTGTCGTTCTAAGTAGACTATTTATCAATTCACCAACCTATTGCTTGTACAGCCTATTCGATGAATGATTTTTAGATTATGGAAATAAGTTTGCAAATCCTTATATGGCATATAATGAGCGTTTTAGATCATACATTTAATTTTAGAAACCAGTCGTTGTTTCAGGCAATTTTTACGATTATATATATACTACTTATACTCTGTAAGTAATTAATGTCATGCCGTAGAGCTTCGGCTTTATACATTACAATTAGACCAAATTTATTATTTTAAAAAATAGTCTGAGGAAAACAGCATGTATTTTGATGAGACAGGATTTGTAGTCCCTGTGATATCTTGTGTTATTTTAGATCATTTTTGTAATGGTAAACTGAGTTAGTTCCCGATTTTTGATCAGCTGCTTCTATTACCTCTATGGATAGTAGCCGTCAACATAAAGACATTCTACTAGCTTCCAATAGATGGATAAACTACCTATAACAATGTAACATTCTGAGACATCTGGAGGATTGTCACCGGGAAAGTATCTAATTTACGGGAGTATGGGAACTGATTTTGATGTCTTAATAACCTGTGCTGAGAATTCTATATTGTACCAAAACTATAATATTGAATAAAGCCATTAATAATAATAATTAATAATAATAATAATAATAATAATAATAATAATAATAATAATAATAATAATAATAATAATAATCCCAAAAAGGCGCATCAGTTCTTATTTGTTCCAATTACCTGGACCAAAATATGTAAGGGATTATCGTCCTCAGTGTCTACCTGAGATAATCATTAGAAGAGGGTTGTTGGTGGTGATTTGCAAAGCATATGCTGGAAGACACATATGGATTAGATATAAAATCCAACTGCTTGTTCGATGCATCGACGAGAATGCTTGCTATATACAATGACCCGTGGACACACTTCTCTATATTTTGGAAATAAAGATAAAGATTCCAACGACCCAACATGAAATCATGCCCGTGTGGGGTCCATAAAAGCGTATGTTGCTCAGTCTAACAAAACTCACGTATGATTAGCTTCAAGAAAGAAGATATTTGAGAATATATTATTTCTCAAAAATTCAACCCTAATCAGTCAGAAAGTGGATTTAAAAAATATCCAGTTTCTGAGTTTTTGAACTTCAGTTTTGCAATTTAATTCAACTCGGTGAAACTTGCATTCTGAATGACTGTTTCTTAAAAGCATCCTAAAAATTCCATGCAAACTCACGCGTTTTCCAATATTTCTTTGGTTGATTGGAGTTTTCAGCAGAAAATCTGTTTATTTTGTCTTCTCGATAGTTGACAATTGGGTCAATAGTCGTTTTTGGGAAAGTCTAGTCGAAGTTCAGTTGGAGAATTATTCTACCTCACGTTCACTATTACTTTGTTCTTTTAAATTATTTATCTTAAACGAAGTCATAACAGCAACTCGAATTTCTCTTTTAATAAGTTAATTTGATAACTGACACAAGAATAGACTATTCAAAATAATGTATATGGTAGATGATTATAAATATGTATGACATAAGAGTTTATTTCCTAACCAGTGATGTCGTATGGTCGAATGCAGTTAAAGTTAAAGGTAGACTACCAAAGAATGTGAGACAAGAAGTTGTCTATGAGATCAAATGTTATGAATGCAATGCAGTGTACATGTAAGAAACATCCAAACGGTTAAATTTAATGTTAAGTAAGCAATAATAATGTTTGAAACATGCTCTAAAATCCTCGGTTGATCTTAAGAAACCTGAGAATGAATCTATTATAACTCTACATACGTTTGAAACAGCACACAAGGGTCCAAAGTACTTCAGAAAAGATTTGACGTGCACAAAAAATGATTAAGATCATTAGCGTTGTGTATTTGGGCCAATCAAAATAACTTAGATAGAGAAGATTAAATTCAACTAGCCACACCTTAGCAACAATTCATTAACAATCAATATGAACCTTATCTCTATCCACCTCGTTTATGTTACATGTAATTTTATTTCGACAGGAACTAATCTCTTAACAACACAACTAGAAACTTTTCATGTTTTAAAACACTTTTCAATTTGTAACTATTAGTTTTTATTTTTATTATTTTTAATTAAACAAAATTATTAACTTATCTTTGTTATAATAAACAATAACCATATTTATTTATTCAGTAAATTTTAATTGTTCATAACATAAAGATACAATTACACATAGATCTATAGTTTCTACATCTTGTGAATTATTCACAATATTCAACATTCTACTATGTCTGCCTTTCTCTCCCATATATATTTTCCTATTTTCCTAGAACTTATGACTGAATAAATTTTGACAAGTTTAGATTTATTCTTTAAACATTGATCTAAATTTCGTTTTTGGTGTATTATTTTTCCTGAAGAACTTCAAACAAGAGATATTGTGGTGTGTGCTATTGATGTTGATAGATATAAGTAGTCTATAACACCAGTCGAATGTGGAATGCCTGAGGGCAGAAAATTAAGAAGATGAAAGTAAGGAGAATAAGAACAGAGAATGATTGATGTGGAAACGAAGGAATAATCAAGTTTGAGACCATTGATTGACATTTTGCAAATGAAGTATTTACTGTATGGTTCTCAGATTTTACTAAGACATTCTGTAATTTTGTATTCAAATACATTTGATTGTCCCCGCCTATGTTCTCGTCCACTAAAATATTACTGAATAAAACGTTTAGATCATTTAGATTTATCTCAATTAAAACATTTTACATGAATGATGTCTTTTATTGTACTTGGTGACTAATTTCTGGCAAACTATTTATCTAGATATTGATGAATATGCATCTAAGTGATAGTTTATCGTCTGTAAAGAAATACAAGTTTGTAATTTAAAGCAATTAGTCCCTTTTATAAATTTCGATAGAACAATGAGAAGACGGAGTTGATCTGAAAAACGTTTGTAACTTTAGTTTGTCGTTTTTTTATTCATCGTCCCAATTCTATTGATTTACGGGTGGATTATATAATCATTTCCTCATTTTATTTTTATTTATTTCATGTCATCATTATTTTCATTTTTATTGTGGTCTTTGTTCTAGGGTGGTAATGTTATATGTCAACGAGAACAATTGAAACCAGTGGGAGCAGCTGCCATGTCCACCGCTACAATTGATTCATCACAGAAGTGTATTGAATTAACCTCTTGGAATAATAATACCATTGGTAGCAGCAGTTGTCTTAGTGCTACTACTACTACTGGTAGTAGTGGTAGTGGTAAAATGATTGGTCGTCTCCAGGGTAATCCTACTGCTTCGAATGTTGTACTATTCAATAACCCACCAAATGCTAAACGTCCACGTTTTGAATTATCATCATCAACATCATCCACAGCATCAATCGAAAGTTCACATTGATAAATTCATTGTTAATTCTGGATAATATGTCATCATCATTTACCCTGGGACCAATCATAATTTATACAGATTGCATTCTCTTTAACTTTTAACCTACCTTTCTGAAATATTTTCTTTAGAGTTTGATTGTATATTGCTGAATAATCTTCCTTTGATTTCCTCCATATCTTTTCATATATATATATACGTCCAGAGACAATCAGAGCTTAATTGGATGGATAACCAGCTCCATGTACTTATGTGTTTAAGATATACAACTTCTACTACCAGCTTCTGATTTTTATGCGTATATGTTTGTATATACATATGTCTGAGTGTTTGCTCACACTTTTACCAAACAGTCAGTTACTTCCTTACTATTTAATCATTATTATTGTTTTCTGATAGAAAGTACATCTATGGTTTATATGCTCCATTATTATACAGAAATTATCCTTGCTCTACTCATCTCTCTTCAATATATATCTATATAATACTGTCGTGTATTATACATAATGAAATATTTATTAATGTCCGTATTGTATGCACACTTTTTGTTTGTTTGTTCTGATGATGATGATGATGATGTAATTGTTTGTTTATTTAATTTCTACTTTAACATGAATATACATTTTCTTTTTTCATCTTTATCAACTGGTAATTCTACATATACTGATATTGAATCAACAGTGTTTTCTTCCCTCCTCATAGTAGTTGTTAGTTTTCGATTATTTTCTTCATCCTCATAACTTCTCTAATTTTCTTCGTTTCTTTTTTTGTTGTTGCTGAAAATAACATATTATTCTACAGACACTCAAACGTTTATGATAAAATCTGTTATTTTGTAAAATTTATTCATGTCATATACACCATACTTTATTGCTTCAGTCCACTTTGTGTATTCTGTGTACATAAGCCTCTTTCGAATTCGTCTGTTTCGTCAATGAATTATTTCATTTATTAATATTATTATTCTCATACTGTAAAATTCATCACCTAGATATATTCTCATATATATATATATACCTACTGTTGTTTCACCATGAACGATATTTATGTTTTTCTACTGTTCACCAGTTAATTCCTCATTATATTATGTTTTGCTTTTATACATGTTGTAAATGAAATGTATGTGTACGTGTTTGTAGGTGTATAATCCAGAAATGAATAGTATATTGCAGTGTTACTAGTAGTAGATTTTGCCTATTCCAATTATTATTGTTTTTATACTGTTTTTTTTAAAAAATTTGGTAATACCTACTGAAATAATTCTATCTTTTAAGGGTGTTGGTGTATTGTTTAACAAAGATGAAATAGAAAACCTACTTTTTACACTAGTTATTATCATAATTTGAGAATATTATGATTTCGTTCGAGGACTTTTTTGCCCCCTTTATCTATTCTATGAATACTATGTAGTCACATTTCTATTATTGGTTCCCACACGAACTTATGTATGTATGAAGTAAACTGTTTTGGAATTTTTATCAAAGGAAATGTGTTTTTGTTTCACTATAATCACAGGTTTAATTTATTTGTGTATACGTTTTCTTCCTCTTCTTCGTATCGCTTGCATCCCTGTGTCTTACACACACACACATCCACACTATCGCTCATCAATGATGCGGTGCTGACTCATGTTTCTCATGTGATGAATACTCCAATATATATGGATTGTAGTTGAAAAGAACTTGTTGGTATCAGTCAGAAAAATACTTTTCCGAGAACATATATCATTGATAACATATCGATGTGTTTTGTTTTACATATTACAAGTTTATAAGTTACATTTTTGTACTGTTTGTCAGTTCGTCTGTCTGTATGTATGTATTCGAAATTGCATGTTATCATCTCATTGTAAATACATATTTTTTGTTGCCTTTTTATATATAAATAACAAATAAAGTCTATATATTTCTTTTGGTAAAAAATTATTGTTCTTAATTAGTAATCCTGTGTATATGATGAAAGTATATGTGTGTAGTATATGTTTGCATGTGTATAAATATTCTCATATATATACGTTGTATACTTGTTCAGAGGAATAGGCTTTCCTTTGCAGTTGTTACTATTTACATCGGGTTAAGTGTTCACCCTGGAGATATTCATATTAGACAATTATAGGTAACTCCAACCTCTTGATATGTGATTATTAATAAAAGGTGCAGCGTTTGCCTACTAAATGAACGGAAAATTTACCGAAGTTGTTGATTACGACATATTTAGTGAATATTAAAGACCCTGGGGCTCTTATCGTTCACTTCAAGATGAATATGTGAACTATAGAAAGAAATGTAATACTCAAAATATACTTGAAATAGGTAATTTTCCAATGACACCTGCTTCGGTTTGGGCACTTGGGCAGTATCACAGCCCTCACACATATCAAATGAGATCTGTGTGGCGCATATGTATTGGGTGCCTCCTTGTACCAATATCTGTGTGTTAAAATAAATTTAAATAATGAGTAGATTTGAGAGTTATCATGGTTCTGTTTGGAATTAGAAAATATGTTTCATCGCATTAATTTTAGTTGTCCACCTCTAACACTTGATCCTTGTTTAAGTATGTGGATGGTGAAAATGTAATTACGGCAAAGTAGAGAATGCACTAAGCACATATGTATTTAAAAGTAGACAAATTAACTCGCTCAAGGACTTGTTAGCTTTTACGTTTAGTGTATGTTTGGTTATACTTCCATTTGACTTACCATGCAACCTAGAGATATTAAATGACATGTCAGGCTTAATTGGTATGATAGAAATTAACACGGCTTTCTAAAGTAAATGTATTGCCTATTAAGTCAAATAGTCACCTTCGAATAATATTTAATTCAAATGTTGTATTCACAAAATAATTGAAAGGGCTAGGCCACTGAGTTTTAAGTGTTTTAGGTGACTAAAATTGATGTATTCATTATGGGAACATCATTCGTTCTGTAGATATGAATGTATATCTATCGGATGTGTCCATGAGTATAATTATAAACTCATGTCTTAGATTGTACTACCGAAAATACCATTAAGATATAATCGCATTTGAAGTTATTTAATAGATAATTCCTGTAGAAATATTGTTGTCCATAAATAACCATTGTCCTAGAAGTGACTAGTGGTTTTCTTTTTTAGCAAGTACTCATTTGGAGTTTGGCCATGTGTTACCGAAGTAACTTTTTAGCCGGTTGATGACGTTTTGAGTCTTTATTGACTGAGGTAGTTTAGATATGTGTCAAGTATGCCTAACCACCGTCTAAATCGACAGATATTAGCTGGTGTAGAAGAAGGTTAAAAGAAAGCTAGGTGAGAGCAAACCAAGGCGTATCGTCGGTCAGAGAACTCCCTCCCTGCTGATCTGTGACTTTGATAGATAAAGACTACCTGGTAGTGGCCCTCATGGTTATTGCAATCAGTAGGTTGTGACATTGAAGGATGTGGTTCAGAGTAGGTCACAATGGCTTAAATTCATTCAGTCCTTGTCTTCCCCCAGTTCCTGAGTTTCCGTATTCCTTCATCATACATTTTCATCGTGTTTTTTTTTGAAATAATATTCTCACTAGGACAGATATAGGCAGATCCAACTGAAGCCTCTTAAACAAGATGAAGCATGAATTCTAGCTTCAACTACTGACCGATTCGGTATATAAATATCATACGGGTTTTATAGATTTTTATTGGTGTGGCAATATAAATGTTTTTGTTCATAGTGGTATTGCATATATCCATACTTAGTTAAGATTATTTGATGTCAGTGTTAAAATTATATTTAAGTTGTATGTTAGGTATCATTTTATCAGCTTTCTAGTTTTTTTTTATTATTTAAAACATTTCGTTAGTTTCTAAGGTTAAAGGGCTACTATGCTTGTGATTCTAAAGTCACTCCATTTTTACTTCAAGTTAAACAATTGAATAATCATTTTCATCACAAGAAAAGATTGATCTTCACTACTTGTATTCGTTGAATTATTCAACATGAAATTATGCAAATGTTTCTAAAGTTCATGTCGAGTGATAATAAGGTGATCGATTCTAGAATATTTCAAGCTTATGATTGAATGTGAATGGAATGATAGAGAGAAGGATTTTAAAGATGACTATTAACTAACTATAGTAATAACTAATACTAATTAAAATAAAAATGATGATAGATTTTATGTTACTGTTTGTTCAGTGAAGTATTCCACGTTCACTTGGTAGTGGGAAATATCCTAAAGATTGGAATAATAAACATTTTACTATGGTTTCATTCAGTAGTGTGGTATAATTTTATAGATTAAGTTACTCTGATGATCTATTCTTCGCTTTTTCTTTTCTATAATTATTTTAAGATAAATTGAATTAAAAGTCTTTATTCTAAATGATAAATCAGATTGATGTTATAATGCCAATAAGAAATATCCATTGATTATTAACACAGTTGTTATCATAACAGGATGTGGATTTAGTTTAGTGAAGTTATTGACTTCTGATGTAGTCCATTGTGTTGATAATAATAATAATAATAATAATAATAATAATAATAATAATAATAATAATAATAATAATAATAGTCATCTTATTCAGTAATATATGCTTGATTACTATGCCTAAGTCTATGCGTGGATTGTATGATATTTTAATGAATCCTATTTATTCATTTAACTTTTGAATATTAGAAAAAGAATACACTAACTAATATGGCGGCCTTCGAAATTTGTAGCAATCAACTTCATGCGATAGTTTGTGAGGTTTTCATAAAAGCCCATGAATATGATTACTGTACGTAGTTAACTAGTTGAAACAAATCCAGGAAAAAATTCTCTGAAATAGTTTTACACAGTTGAAAAATTATGTATTCTGGTATTTAAGAAAGAGAATCTTATTGAAGCCTAGATTATTTTTTCTTTACATCTATCCGATAACTAAAATAAAAATGAATCTTTGACGACTTAGTGGAATTGTTGTTTTTGTAAAGCATTGATTATTGTCTCTTTATCTCTTTCTGTATTTGCACTTATTCGGTGTCTATTGTGTTTTATTCTTGATCTTGTTATATATCAGTACTTTATATAAATCATGAACCGACTTGAAAGCACTGGACAGTCGTTTTGTTCTAGTATGGGACTTCTCAGGATTTCAATCATTTCAATAAAATTTAACAATCTCCACAATGTCGTACTGAGAATTGTCATGTGCTCACTAGTGACTAGCTTCGAAAGGTAATTCTCGGCGTTCTGTGAGAAGTCGTAACCAGTGGAGTTCAACCCGTAGGTTTGATGTCACTTACTCATCAAAGACAATGGAGGATGACGAGGAAACATCATGGATTGGTTGGAGTTAAACATTAACCCCATTGGATCCCGACTCAGCAGTCTAGGGGTTAGGCATTAGCGCCCGAGTCCAAGAGTCCTAGGTTCAAGTCATGCGTGCGGGATCATGGATGTGGACTGGTAAGTTCTATGCTAGGACGAAACGGCCGTCCAGTGCTTCCAGGGTTTCAACAGTTGTCTAAAGTTGATCAGTTCATGGTTTCAATGATATTCAGTAATCTCCACGACCCCATGCTGTTTTGAGATGTGTACATGTTAAACTATAATTCATTATTTTAGCATCTGTAAAATATTGCTTTGATTTTTTGATTGCTGATATTTCAGTTACTTCTTCCTAAAGACTAAATGTACTGATATTATCTTAAATTAGATAGATTATAGCTAGCAGTGCAACCCAGGATGCACTTTTCGTCCTACTTAGGACCTGTTGATCGAGTTTATGTGTTATTTCTCAGAGTTGATGTGCACATTTAATCTTGTACCCAGTACTTCTCACTTCAAACATCAGTTGTTTAACGGGTATGGTGTTTTTAAAAATTGTCAGTAAGGATTTGAATTACCCCGTTGTTTATGTTAGAGATTGAATTTAGGATGAAACGCTTTTTGTAGATTTAAATACTGACTAAAGTTTATGTTTCAAAAAGTTTGTAACAAAATGACAATATCAAAACAATCTATCAAAGATGTATAAACGGTATAATAAAAACTAATCCAAATTCAGTCCTAAATATCAACTACCAAATATTTCAAATCCTTAACTATTACTGAGATTGCGTACGTTAAATTCTCTCTTTTCGTAAATATATCTATTTCCATCGTGGTTTTGTTTTCTAGTCATAAGTATTAACGTCAATGAAGAAAAAAATTGTCAACAAATTAACAATCCAACAATACATATTCATACTTTTTGTCTACATGTTCACAAGAGATCTTGAACCCTTTCAAAATCTAGACTATTTGTATATCATTCTTAAGTTTGTTCGCATACATTCTTGTTTTGTTTATTTCCCTACATGCATAGTTACATAAATACAATCATCCTTTTTTTATTTAATAAAACAATCTCTTATTTTATAGGAGAATAATCAATTGGATATTGTTTATCAATTATCTCAACAAATTCAATCCTCAACTATTAGTTTACTACGTACAGATTTAAATAAACTGATCAATTCGGATGATGACAATAATTTGATTGATATCCCAACATTATTTTCAAATGATCAACTTAATACTCTATTAGATTATCTACGTTCACTTAGACAATGGGCAGCAACTATTCCAGATTTACTCAGTAATAATAATCATAATCATTCTATTGAGGAGATTAATTCTTGTCGAAAAGTTGTATATAATTCATTGAAAACTCTTTTAGATTCATTATTTCTATGTTTATTTCAAAAGGATCAAATCATTTCATTCTGGTATTCTATTCCTATTATGATACAATCAAATATTATTCTATGTATTTCAATCTGTATACAAGTCATTATTAATTTATTAAGTGAATCAATACAATCCATTGAATTATTCGATATTCATTCATTATTTATTATCTTATTATCTAATAATCGTCCATTAATATGTTTAACCAATTATGGTTTAACATTATGGAATCATTATAATGATCATTCTATCAATCATAATCGTTTATCAAGTCATTATGCTTATTTATTATATTTATTATTATTACGTATTGAACAAACTATTAATTATCATGATAAATTACCTAAATTAATTCTTCAATTATTACAGAATAATTTTATCAGTAATAAAACTATTATACAATTTATTTTAGACCAATCATGTAATACAATTGAATCGAATAATGATTCAATAAAAATTATTCATTTTCAATTATTATTAATACAATTAATGAAAAGTTTTAATCAATTTATTAAATTATTAACATTTAATGAAATAATTACTCAAATTAATATTGATTTTATTCATTTAATAATTGATATTACTGGATTTGTTTTATTATTATTAAGTTCTAATGAACTAACTAATCAATGTGAATTACCGATGAAACCACAAAAAATTTTACCTACTAATATGAAATCATGTTTAGGTTATTGGTTAGCATATCTATCAATGTTGGATTCTTCTTCTTCTTCTTCTTTTTCTCGTCTAATGAATGATACAATGAAAATATTATTGAATGAATGTTCTAGATTATCTTCATTATGGATTAAAGAATTAATTGTTTGTTCTCCAGAAAAGGATACAACTATTCCGGCTAATAATAATACAGTTTCCCTGTTGGTAAATTCAATCAATATATCATGTGTAGAATTATTTAGTTAATTATACAGTTCATAACACTAACTGGTTTTAGTTAAGCCCTCAAATACTCTGGTACGACCGAGAGTGGGGAGAGTCAGCTCTCTCTCTCTCTCGAAATGCTCTCGTATGGCCACGTGTATACAACCACTGCCAGGGAAGTCCTACTCACTGGCTTCTGGCGGCGGGGGTGTTGTTTAGGAAATTGAGAGGACGAAAAGCGAATATCTGGCGCTTTAACCTCTTTAGTGAATATGGAGGATCCACTCAAGGGAGTTGGAAAACCCCGATTCCAAACTAATGGTATACATGGGCTCCGAGATCCTGAAGGAATAAGTGGCGTATGAACCTATTGTTGATCAGCAGCTACCATGGGACTGCATCTCCTAACTTTGCCCCACTACCTTGCGGATCAGGCTCCGGGTATGGCCCCCTAAGAAAACAACCTGCTTCGGTTTGGACACCCAGGCAATATCCCAGCCTTCACAAATCGAATGATTTATGTGGCACATATCCATTTGCTGCCTCCTTGTACCAATGTTTATGTATTTAAACAAATAAATAAAATAAATTTAGTTAAACAGCCACTAGAAAACAAAAAGCATTAGATAGCCATTTCGTATTAGTATGGGGTTCTTCAACTTGGTTTTACGCATTCACAAACCCACTAATGATAGGATCAAGGTAATTCTGGGAATTCTAGTGAATAGCTGAAATCAGTGGAGTTATGCCATAACTGGTATGAGACACTTACCAGTGGGATTGTAAAATGGCTGCACGATATCATAAATGGATTGAGTTTAGAAATGTAAACCATTGGATTCGTATTCAGTGGTCTTAAAATTAAGCGCTCACTACAAGACCTAAAGATTTCGATTTCTTCTGGGGTGATGGATGTACACTATTGAGAGAAATCTTGTACTATGACAAAATAGCTGTCAAGTATTTTCTGGTTTTCATCAGTTGTCTAAGGCCAATCTGTGATACAAACTACAAAATCGGACATCCTTCACAAACTCCTCATACTAACAGCATGTCAGTTAACCCCATTACTACTGTATTTGCCATGAGAATGTTATAATATAGAAATTTCCAGGTTTCAAACACCACTAACCAGAACTTTATCAAGTCATTCATATGCAATCGTATATATCTTATTGTATGTAAAATAGAAGTGGACGAACGTATTCTATGAACTCAACGACCACATTGATAACTGAATACATTCATCCATATAGATTTTTCTAGCAAGTGATAAATAATTAATTAATATTGTAGCTAATTTAAAATAATGGGATAATCAAATAAATTCCCCACTTAATTGATACCATGTCATTATAATCGACATTTTAGTATCGTAGATTTTTATAAAGTTTTTATTACTTTAATTCTCATATTTATTGGACGTTATACTAGTAGTATAATTGAACTATACAGTTTCAATGTGTTTATTTTTGTATTCACAGCATGTAAACTATCCTTATGCTCGATTACGTGGTTTAGTTCATATACTGGCTAGTATCACTTTTTCAAACTTGGATAATAGTAGTAATAGTAATTTGAATACAGACGAGAGTATTTCAACAAATTCAGAAGGCAGTGATAATGATAAACAACCTGTCGATATTCAATCATCATCCATACTATCGTTTCATCAAGAAAGTAATCAATCATCAGAACAGAACATGCCAATCACACAAGAGTATGCTAGTGAATTATTAAAAGTCCTCTGCAATATTTTAGTGATTACACACTATGCAACTCATAAATTTGAGGAATTTTATGATTTACCTGATTCAATCAAAGATAATTTACCATTCAAGAATGATTTAGTGAAAAATAAAGATTTTACTGTTTATCCATCAAAATTAGCGAAGAAAATGGTATGATTTCTTTATTTCTCTTTCGTTATTCTGTTGTTGTGTTAATTATTTTAATTTGTACCTGTTTTGATAGGACCAGAGCGAACGGATAGCCTTGAGCGATTCCAAGATTGACCTTACAATTAAATAATCATATGTTAACCAGTTAGATTGTAATGATTGTAAACGAACCATTGATTATTACAAAATTAAGGACAAAATAGTTTTAGAATGTTAGGTTTAAGCTTTAACATCATAACTCTAATACTATCTTTCTAATTCTAATGATCAGAATCCAGGTTGTGCAAACGGCTAGTATTGTTTCAGCAATCTGTACTGGTGTTACTGTAAACCGTTTAGTTGTAGAAACCATAATTCGCTTCGATTTGAGCTTCAATTTTTTCGAAAGATGCCACTCCTACTAGGCTACTGTAGAATAGATGGAATGTGGCTATCAGTAGAATCTAAGACGTGCGTTTCGTCATGCTTGTAACTTGTCAGCTGGATGTACATGGGTCCCAGAGTTGGTTAATAACCTTGTTGAGTTCGACCCCTAATGAGGCCGTAGATGCAAAACGCTGACATACTCCGTACTAGGGTGATGTAACTGTTTAGTGCTTTTCACTTGTAAGGCCCTGGCTTAGTCACTAGTTCACTTGGCTATCAACTCGTATGTTACGAGTTCGAACCCTGTCCCACCTACTTTGATTTACCATCCGGATAGTATTGTCAGCCTTCTAGCAACTGAAGTGCGGCTTGAAACTGAGTACCTAAAATCTGCACTTAGTACATGGATAAATTATCAATTTGTTTTTTTCTACAATGTTTCCCATCTCTTTTTTTAAATTTAGGTCCTACTCTCTACGAGATCACCCTTTTCATTAATTCAAGCTATTTGTTTTAAACAAGATGTGATTCGATGCATAGTTGGATTGATTACACAATTTCCTGAACTATCACTTACATTAGCCTTACACAAATTTGACGCAAACAATTATATGATGGGCGACGGTGATGATGTCAGCGAGAAATTAATCAGTTCAACAACACCTACACCATCATTTTTATCTGCCTTTGAAGTGATATTAGACGCTACAAATAGGGATCCATTCAATTCATTCTGTGTTGAATGGGCTATTCTCCTGATCCGGTTAATAGTAAAATCAAATCAAGCACACAGTTCACAAGTGATATCCATTGTGTCTTCAAAATTGAAAGGATTAAATATATTAAATGATTGAATATTGAACAATTGAATATGAGTAAAATGACGAATAGATACTTTTTGTTTTATTATTGTACATTGTGATTTATGTAGTTTTATATATGTATCACATAAAATAAATGAAGTTTAATGAGTGAAAGCATATTTTCTGTTTTTTTTTCGTGTTCAGCAATTGCCTAGATACTATGTAACCCATCAGTTACTAGTTTATTTATTCAACATTGAACTTTACTGTTTATGTGAGGGTCCATGAAATAATATTATGCTATCTAGACCTAGGTAGGTGTTGTAGAGTTTGAACGTGAGACTTGCTGGGCGAAAGTGAGATGTTCCCTAACTATAAAGCAATCATTACATTATGATGTTTATATCATAAGATTTAGTGATTTATACATTTTGTTTACTTGATAGTTATCAAATGGCTTTGTGATATTGGAAAATAAACACTGAGACTAATTATTTTAAGAGTACATCGACATTCTTTACTCAGTTTTTTATCCCTATCTGATATTAATTGAAGGATTGTTGAAACTCAATTATAACAGTTAATTTATTTTGTCCTTATATAAGAATCCTCAATAATTCGCATACACACACAGTCCAATTCAGTGAGTCAAACTGAGGACATTTAAATTTAGAATCGATAAACAGTATTGTTAAGGTACCTTAAATGGTTTTCATATCTGTAATTTAGTTTATGATACCGAACAATTTTTATCGAATATTATCATTCGTCGCTTAATAGTTTCACTGTTGAAATATCTGTGACCATAAAACCGAGGGTTTTCCAAAATGAGAATGTAAGACAAGGAATATCAGACACTTTAAATTTACTAGTATGAGACTAGATTTCGTAAAATATCTTACAGACTGTCCTAAATCATCTAACTGATAATCTGTATAGTATAGTTTTTTGTTTTCAAGAAAGTCGGTTAAAAAGTATGAATCAATTGACAGTGTTGTGTGTGTCCATTCAATTAACGCATGAGAAAATATCTATTTCTTTTTGCTTGCAGTCACTGTAACTCATAAATACGATCGGTTCAGTAATGATAGACAAAACAAACCACTGTATTCTCTCATAATAGCTTAGAAATCTCTTATGACTTTCATGAATTCCTGGTACGTGTTTTGTGATAAGGCAATTTTTCTTCAGGTGTATCAAATATTCCAGTTAGCGGCTGATATGTCTTATCGTTTTGAACAATACTTGTTATATCTGATCGTCACTGATTGTTATGCCGAAAACTCTTATCACTAATACTCGAAACGAGACACCTCTGCAATTCTCACGACGCGAAAGTAAAAACACAAAGACTGGTATAAGTGAAGATTTATTAAGCCTCAAAACACGAAGACGACGAAGACTCTTGTAATAGAAAATACACTCATTTATATATTGATTGGACACCCATTTTTGATTAATAATTAGGATGAAATCACATATATAATAAAATACTCAGTTATAACAAATCGCATGCTGAGCATAGTTTATGTCCGTTGAATACAAGAATATCGTATATTATACAGAATAAAATATCATAAGAGAGAAACAAAACCGAATGGTACACTGAATGATCGTCATATTGAATCAGAACGGAAGTGATGTTGAACAAAACTCATACGAAGTAAATTAATCTAATTTTGACTTTTCTTCTCGTCATATCAGCATCTTATAGATTACAAGAGTAATATAAAGTTAAGAGAGTTGTCGGTATTCTTTTTTTTGGTGGGAACATTGGAAGTGTACGATAGTCTGTACTTTTTAATTACAAGTTTTTACCATTTTAAAGAGAGTTCTCATAGAACATAAGACGATGAAGTAGCCAAAGAACCTGACTTCTTAAAAAAAGTTTATAAATTTGAATAAGAAAAATAGCCATAAAACTAGTGTATCGTTACAAATGGATAGATTTTTAATGAGGATACATGATTTTGTAAAGTGTTATTTTTGAAATCTTAGTTTATGTATATAGTAGACATTATGCAATTTAACGGAAATGATACAATAATATATAATGATTGTTTGTACTTTTACAGAACAAGAAGAAAACATACTCCATATAATCATTATAATATGCACTACAGACGATGTTATACATTCATTTCGAAAATAGTCTTCAATCGTAATCAAAATCTATTCCTTTGCCAAACCATTAATAATAATAATAATAATCGATTTTGCAGTTCATTGACTTCTTCTATACAAGTAAATCATTCTTTGTCGACAATTTCATCAAAAGAAGAAGTATTTCCAACATGGATTACTAGTAAATATCTACCAAATGATTGGTTACAAAAAGAATTTTCCGATCCATTTGTATTAAATAATTTCAAAAGTCTGGTTGTATTATGTCAATATGAATCAAAACTAGGTCGTTGGCGTACAATGAAATCATTATGTTCTAAAGATGATGTTGAAATAGTTGATTCAGAATCATTATTGGATAGTTTATTCTTAAATGTCTATCAAAAAGAATTAAATATCAACGCTAGAACTGGTATTCAAATGATACACAATGTATGTAAATATAAGTTCAGTGAACAAAGTAAGTGAAATATTCTTATTGATATTATTACAGTTATTCAACTAATTCCTTGTGTTTTTCTTTTTCTGTGTAATCTGTTCGTTCTTCATTCGATTCTATCTGGCACTTTGATATTGTAGTTGGATTTTCCTAACGTGATAACTCAATCAATCTGCATTGGTTGGATTATTTGTCTTCTGAGGCTATATCATTCCAGGCAGGTCAGTCGGATAATGATAAAACTAAGACCAGAAGTAGAAAATCTAAAGTCATAGGGAAAGATACTATCGAAAGATACTATCGAATGTATCTGATTATAGTTTCAGTAAGGTGTTTCCACTGGATAATCAGCATCTACATTAATTTTACTTATACACAAAGGAAGGTTAAGTTAGAAAAAATCGATCCTATAAGTAGTATACCTCACCTTCGCCCACTGTTATAACTCTTTCTTCTTACGGTTAACGACCCAGCTATTCCTATTGCTTAGTATTCTCGGACACCGATTCACTCGACAAGTCCCCAAATCAGAACACGGTTGAACAGGGAAAAGATTATATTCCAAATAGCAAGTCAGAAGCACAATAGGGGAAAACGTCGGTATATTTATAGTTTTTACATAAGAAGATTCCAGAGTAATCTCCGACTATCGACTAGTGCTGATTGGATAAGAGTCAGCCAATCAGCGTGCACCAAAACAATCATGCATTGAGCATGCTTTAATCTAGTCTATGTCCCGCTAACACCCACTTATAAGTGGTACTGTTGGTGATGAGTTAAAAGCCCATATCTAATATATCAAAAGTACTCAAAAAAGGTTATGGATGTTTAAACTCAAGGAACTTTCCTGTGGATTGTACATTCTCACTCCCTGGACGTTGTTTCCTTTTCAGTGATCTCAAGAAATTATCCTTGTACGGTATAGGCAACTGGGAAGAGATAGCCGCCAACATAAATATCTCTTTGACTGACTCACTTTGTTTCTCTCACTTCAGCCTCGCTTTTCTCCACTCTATTGTTCTCCTTCGTCTTCGTCTTTTCTGTATTTCTTTCTGTTTCTCAGCTATCTTCTATGTATTTTTCAGTGACGCTTATTCTCGCATCTCGTTTCCTTTCTCCTTATTTGTTTTCCCACGAATCACTTCCCTTCATTTATTTTTTCTTTATCGACACAGCTTCTTCCAGTTTAATAGTTTTAATTCACTACAATTAATTAGACTCATTAGGTTTATTCTTCTGTATAACTTCGCTTTCGATTAATGTATTGATATTTGGTTGTTAGTTTACGGATTAGATACTGTGGCAGTTATTATTTACTTGTTTTGGTGTTTGATATGGTGAGAAACAATGAAGCTTTCTTTATTGTAACATAGATTTGTGCACCTATTCATAATACCATAGTTGTATGTTAGATAGTTTAAGGTAGTCAAGAGAAAACTTATGTAACAAAACGAAAACTTAAGAAAACGATAACATTCGAAACTATCTTATTCATTATTTTTATATGGATTCTTACTATTTAATTACTGAATAACTAGTGTGTTTCCTAATCTGGTGCAATGCAGTCCGGTATGTCTGTTTATAAATCGACACGTACATTGAACAATAATGAAAAGAAGAATATAAGTTTGTCTGCTGTCTTCTAGACTCTTGACAGGCGATCAGTCGAATATTACTAGAGTGTCAATGATTAGTGAACCTGAAATGGAATACAACGATGATGGAGACTAAAGGTCCATCATCATCAAAATATACTGTTTATGCTGTTTAGATAGTCTAGAGACAAAATATTATAATGAGTAACAAATATTCATCGAAATTTTTCGAACCGATGAATTTCTGGTACTATAATGCGACCGATTTCTCACAAATTTACGAGCTCATGGATGCACCACATACAAAAAAGTTAGCCACAAAAGAACTGTCTGTCGAGTTAAGGAAAGATTGAAATCACGATCTATGAAGCTTCTTGATTAAAATCAGAAAAATTATATAAACAGAATATATGCTACACTCGCATGATGTACAGCTGACAAAAGAAGGTATATGGATTTATCTGTAAACGGTTTATATATTCTATCACCATTGGATGTTGCGCCAAATATCACATTAATCTCTGAAAGGATATGTAATTTAATTAGTTCACAAAGATTACAAACTGAACACATCCAGGAATATACACAGGGACGTACTGAAGCTCTTTGGAATAATGAGATGTTCCGTTCACTTTCGATATGATCATCTTCCGGGGGGTACATCACAAAATCATTCATATCCACTACATCTACCTTAATGGTTTGTTTATTATGATAAACGCCTAACTTTATTTCCTCAAACTTGATTTTTCTGAAGCCTACTCGCAAATGGAGGTCAATATTTATTCAAATGAGTTTCTAACTATTGATACTTATGGTGGATGCTATCAAATATAAGCGCTTGCCATTCAGCTTACAGTCAGCACCTGAAATTTTCTAGTAGATAAATGGACACTATGATATCTAATGTGGAAATGATAGAAATTTGGCTGGATGACATTGCTGTTTGTCCAACTGCTTAGGGCACCAGATACACATGCGACACACAATAACAATGAGAATGGGAAGAGATAAAGAAT